CAGCGTGACAATACGAGATGCCGGATGTGCGCCGATCGCAGAAGTTTTCGCTCAAGAATTTGCTGAACGTTCGATTTTGTCTATGGCAGACATGTATTCCGGATATGATCAAGTACCCCTACACCCCGAATCAAGAGACCTTACAGCCATGCTTACGCCGTTTGGATTATACCAACTTACCCGACTCCCTCAAGGAGGAATCAATTCAGTAGCTCAATTTCATCGAGTAGTCAACAAAGTTTTCGAATCCCTCAAACCCGACATCGTCAGCGTATATGTCAATGATACGGGCATCAAAGGACCGAAATACTGAGATGAGACACACGTGAAACCTAACATTCGCAAATTCGTACAAGACCACATGGACGACTGCAAGAAAGTATTTATTCTTATGATCGATTCAGGACTCACGTTTTCCGGCGAGAAATCAAGCTGGGGAATGTCGAAAGCAAGTTTCGCAGGCATAGTCTGCAGTTACGACGGAAGGGCACCCGAACAATTGAAGATCCGAAAAATCACCAGCTGGCCCCCTTGCCAGAACCTGACCAAAGTACAAGCATTCCTCGGACTTATTCTATTCTACCGCGCCTGGATCAAAGACTTTGCTAAGAAAGCTGACGCCCTGTACAAGTTGTACAGGAAAAACGCCCGATTCGAATGGACGACCAAGCAACCGACCTGTATGGATACGTTAAAACAAGAATTCGTCGCTGCCAAGGTATTAGCTGCGCCGAACTACGAAGAAGACGCACCCCCGTTCATTATTACGACCAACGCTACACCCATTTCGTGGGGAGCGATACTCTCCCAAGTTGATTCCGAAGGAAGAGAAAGACCGATACGATTCGAAAGTGGATTGTTTACCGAACAGCAACGAAATACCGACCCGATAGTCAAACTTGAATTACTTGGAGCCTACAAAGGAGTTCGCAAACTACGAACTTACGTTTGGGGCAGACGTTTCAAGCTCTGGATTGACGCCAAACCCTTGATTCAACTACTACAAAAACCCGAATTCCCCGACAGCACCATAATGCGATGGGTAGCGCAGTTAATGCTATTCGACTTTGAAAGCAAACATATCAAAGGAGAGAAGAACCCTGCGGACGGACTTTCGAGAAAACCTCGAGCAGACAATGACACCGACACTGAAAACGAAGACTCCGACAATTCGGAAATGCATGTATTACGAGTCAATTCAGCCACAACCGAATGGAAAAGTGATTTGAATGAAATTCGTCAATACCTGACCGATATGACCGTACCAATGCGATACAAGTACCCTAGCCAGCGAAGAAAATTCCGAAACCGATGTACCCGATACGCCCTACAAGACAATCATTCATTCTTACGAAACGGAGATTGAAACCACCCCTGCAAATTATCGGGAATGAACAAGACCAAGAAGAAATTATTCAATTCATGCACAAAAGCAAGGAAGGAGGAGGACATCGAGGCATCCTTGCGACATTCCGAAAGATACAACAACGCTACTATTGGTCAAGACTGTACAAAGAAGTAAAGGCCTACGTTCAATCCTGCCACAACTGCCAATTCAGAGACCTGCGACGTGAATTTGAACCGCTTTACATCGAAATTCGAACGACACGACCCTTTCAGAAATGTGGACTAGACTTTGTATTTATCACAAAAGGAACGAACGCAATTGAAGGAGGAATGATTTTACGAGACGACGCAACCGGTTACCCTGAAGGACGAATGATCAGAGGCAAGCTGACTGCAGACAAGATTGCCGCGTTCTTATACGAAGAAGTATTCTGTTGACACGGACCAATCAAAAACCTAGTATCCGATGGTGGACCCGAAAACGTCAACAAAATGATACAACATCTTACCGAGCGATACGGTGTCAAACACCGAATTACGACTGCATATCACCCGCAAGCGAATGGATTAGTAGAAAGAGGACATGCCCCGATTATCGAACGTCTTATTCGAACCGCACCGGCTCCGAGAGAATGGCCAACCGTATTCCCTGCTGCATTATGGGCAGATCGAGTTACTGCGAAAAGAACGACAAAGTTTACACCCTTCTACCTGATTTATGGAAGAGACGCCGTACTACCTATCGAACTTACGTATGAAACATGGATGACAGTACCAAATCTTCAACAACCCATGACAACCGAGACATTTTTACAACACCGCATTGAACATTCCAATACAGAGACAAAGACCTGAAGCTAGCGACAGAGCGACTAATCGCAAGCCAAAGAGCAAACAAGAAGTATTGGGAGAAACGACACCGAATTAGAAACCGACCTTTTGAACCCGGCGACATAGTTCTCCTGCACAACACGAAGCTATTGACTCAACAAACCGGCAAGACTGACAACAAATGGTTTGGACCCTACAGAATTACCAAACCCAACAACAACGGCACGTATTATATCGAAGAATTAGACCAGACAACGATACGCAAACCTGTAGCCGGAGACCGATTGAAGATATTTCGAACTCGAACCCAGACACAACCGATAGTCGATGGCAACGCCGAAGACGAAGAAGAAACAGACGAAGAAGACAAAATTACGGACGAGAATTGATGAGGACATCAATATTTGACAAAAGGAAAGAAGTAGTATTGCGCTTCAAACTGCGCATGAAATCGATAAAATTTTGACGCTGATTATACGCCTAGAATCTTCGACGAGCGAATGAAATCACCTTTATATGACAACGTCAAAATATCGTCAAAACTTCCGACAATAAATCGACACACTCGCGTTCCCGACACTCCGATGATTACCAAATACAACTATCTTTACCGAAACCTTGCTTCTCGACGATGTTTTGTCCTCGGATACGACTGACATGCAAAAATGTAGGCGTAGGAGAGGATGGCACACATGAAAGCACCCTCGACCCGCCTCTTAACCAACCAGAAGCTCCCACAATGCCCGAAACGCTGAAGAAATCACCTCGAAACGAGAAAACCAATTTCCGGTGGCCATATACGCCGAACGTTGCAGAAAACCCCGAGAAAAGATTAGCGATAAGGCTGTATCAGCGCCAAAATTGCAAATGGAAAAAGGAAAAACTACGTAGACCGCCGCAGGAAAAGAGAAAAAGACCCCGACGTAGCTAAATCCTCTAGAGAAGACTAGTAGAGAGTTTGGACTTCGACAAAATCCCGTAGCCTAGAAAAATCCAGATAAAAACCCGCGCGTTTTCCCCAGACCTTTGTACGATACGCAGAACACAGATCCCGATCAACAACAGAGCTTTCTACTTCTTTACTCCCGACGACTTCTTACAGTTTCTGATAGATCTTCAAGGCGCGCTCATAGACCCGGAAAGCTTAGACAAGACGACCCCGAGTGTCGTGACTTGTACTTTGCTGACGTCGCCGAGGACTTGATAGTTCAGGAATCTCGTAAGAAGAGCTGAGAGTGAGACTGGATAACCCCGTTGTTTTGTTTTGTAGTCAAACCCGCAGATATTCCGATTCCGTATTTCGTGCCCGTGCCCGTAATTCCTGACCCCGTATTAGAAGAAGGACTCCTTTCAAAGCACCTGGATATTAAGGTGGCAAGACAACGCTCTCGCTTGAGATCTCTTCTTGTGCTATTGAGAGACCAGCAGCTTATTTTTCCCGACACCCGACCGTAACCCCGTATTTGACACGCTTCTGCCGGCCACCACCACAACGTGGCACTATTCAATCAAAGGAGGGGCTGACATTTTGGCAAAGTTTCTCGTCGCCACGGAAAAGGCGTTCACCAAGCGACTGCTGCAGGAGCTCACCAAACGCAACCCCACCGCGGCGGCCTACCTGATGATGTCCATGCCAAAGGTGTACGGGCCACACTCCGATGAGTTTGCCCCGCTGTTCGCGACGACCAACTATCAAGTGGTCGTTCACTCCGACCGGTTGGACGACGGCGTAGCCAGCGAGCTGAACCCGCACACAGGCCGCGCCATATGGAAGCTGACCCCCAAGGAGGAGCTTCCGGAGGAGCTTCAGGCCCGCAAGCTATGCACGCAATGGGTGGCAGGCTACGCCGCCGCTCCGAAACCGTCGTCGGCGAGTGGATATTTGCGCTGCCAGAGCAAGGCTTCTGCTTGGTGCTGCAGCCCGACTGCATGTGGACGTGGATGTCTGACAAGCTCCACGGAACGGCGGTGCTTGACACGTCCGGCGGCAGTTGCCACACGGCTGTTGTGACGCTGCCCCTGGCGACGGCCGCGGCCATCCGGAAATACGGCCTCCCAGATGAAGACGAATAGCTGCGCCGCCCCCAGCAGCAGCCGGCCCTCGTGCGTAGATTTTGTAGACCTTGCCTGCCCCGCCTGCGTAGATTTTGTAGACCTTGCCTGTGCAGAAAGGCCTCATCAATAGGCGAGTTTGGCGCACAAGAGTCCGATGTGGCTAGGGGCTTGCTCCAGTAGCGCGGGCGAACGTGATGGACCGGACCTCGCGGTGAAGCTCCGGCGGCTGGAGGCCTGAGCTGCCCGTCCAGACCTCGCCCAGCGTGTCTCCATCCTGCGGGCGCCGTAATGACACGCACACACGTTAGCGCTGGACTTGTGACGTTAGCGCGGGGTGGGTGCTAACGCCTGTGAAGCCACGTTAGCGCAGGGTGGGTGCGAACGCCTGTGAAGCCACGTTAGCGCGGGGTGGGTGCTAACGCCTGTGAAGCCACGTTAGCGCAGGGTGGGTGCTAACGCCTGTGAAGCCACGTTAGCGCGGGCGCGGGTGTCGCTCACCGTGCCCTGGGGCTCCGCGTCTGCAGACTTCTACCTTCTACATGGTCGTGAGCAGACAAATTACAGACCGCCGAGACCGAGCTCATTCTTACAATTGCGCGCAATTGCGCACACTTCCACCCTCGCACATTCAAGGCAAACCCCCAGCCAGTCTCTGAAAGCCTTCAGCGCTTCGCAAATAAGCGAGAGTCCTGGATCCTCCTCGAGAGCAGGCCCCTTGCTCTCACCACCTGCCTGCACAGCACGGCACAGCACGGCCATCATGTCATCACACAAGGCGCTCCAGGGGCACCGGTGGGGTGGCTTCTTTACGAGAGCAACCACACCACGGCGGAAGAGGAGGAAGGTTGCTCCGGTTATCCCGCGGCTGCCCATAAATCCGCCAACCGCTGTGCAGACACCAATGCAACCCCCGTGATTCGATTTCCCACCTTCTGTCCAGCGTCACTTGCCCCAAGCAATTCCAGACATGGTTAGCGAGAGCTCCGGCGATGAAGACGGGCAACAGCACCAGCAGCAGCGAGGGCTTTCACCCGTGGACGGGGGTCTGCAGCGCCCACCGAACCTCCCCGCGCCCATCCCTTTCCGTTTTCCCAGCACACCGGGTGGATCCCTGGTGCTTGAACCCCCGCCACCACCACCAGTTCAACGACCCCGCCCGCAAACACATGCCGGCACCAAGGTTTCCCTTCACCAAGTCATCCATAATCAGAATCAAGCTCAAAGGGAGCGCCTGACAACATTCATCGGCAATGTTCAGTCCCTGCGCGCCACACGACCTTCTTTCTCAAGCACTACCTTGGTGAGTTTTTGAGGTACACTGTATATTTCCCATAATATTTCCCATAACAATGTCCTGACTACCACGTCTGCCCACCGCTGCTGATCATCCTCTACGTGATTTCCCGGACATCACTGACAAGCACATCAGTGTGATGTTTGAGCTGCTCAACAATCCAGGCTACAACGGCAATCCGGTGATCGCGCGAGAGTTGCATCCATGGGTTCAAGACTACTGTGATGTTCACGGATTCGCCCCCATCCGCATGCGGTATTGACAACAGACCGCAGCGTACACGGCTACGAGCATCCTCACAAACCTCAAAGTTAACGTATAAGAGCATTTCATGCAAATGTTTCTGCGCTACGTCAACGAAAGGCTTGGTTTGAAGCAAGTCGCACTGCATCCCCTTAGAGCTGGAGTCAACCGAGCGCAGCGGCAACACTATTATCAGCGGGTCCGTCACTTTACAAAATTTGCGACGTTTGAAGAGTTTCCAACCCAAGAAGAGTTTGCGCACCTCACACGACTTGAGCGGACCGTCCTCGACAAGTTATGGGCTCTGTTTCCTCCCCAGGATGAAGCGCTTGCGTACAGCCTTGCGGTGGACGTAATGCCATATTTAGGTGAGTTACATCCTGTATATTTACGCCCCCCCCCCCCCCCCCGCTGCTTCCTCTTTTGTCTAATCATAGTCCGCACCTGCATCATCACAGGTGCCTATTGTGAGCTCTCACGCCTCTATGAGCGCCTTGGAATGCGGCTGTTTTTCGCTATCCCGCTGCGCAAATCTCGAATCCAGTCATCTGTTCGGATCGACACAAAGATCCTAACCACTCATATCCTGGCCTTGGGCCACCATCGCATGGGGAAATTCACCGATGAACGCAAGCAGGAGATGCGGGGGCAGTTTCTCAATGTGAATGTAAGTTAAGTCTGTACCCTTCTGTGCTTGATTCAATCTGATTACCTTGCTGAATGACGGATTTTAGGACAAGGTCTGCAAGCATCGAAAGAAGCTTGGTCTCAAATTTGATGGGTCAATCAGCACAAACGGGTATTCCGCTACCATCCACTTCAAGAAGCCAGGGCTCAAGTACGGCCATCGCGCCCGGAAGCGCAGCAAAGCCCAAATGCAGGAAGAAGTCTAACAGCTGTATTTTGAGCACCACATCGCCGAACTAAGGGAGGCTCCAAACATCGTCAGCATTGATCCGGGCAAGCGTGACCTCTTGTTCTGTCAAGACATCAAGAAGGAGCGGCCATTTCGGTACGTTTCAGTTGATTACTACTGCACTGCTGTCCCCGCTACCTCCCCCCCCCCCCCCCCGTCTCCGCCCGCCAGCCCCCCGTCTCTGCCCGCCAGCCCCCAGTCTCCGCCCGCCAGCCCCCCGTCTCCGCCCACCATCCCCCCGTCTCTTGCTGCAGCTCCCACCGCCCCTATCCCCACCATCCCCGTTGCGGCGACATTCCGTTGCAGCGTTCTCACAATGCACCACCCCATACCAGATACGCATCCAATCAACGGGCGGTCGAGACAAAGTCTCAGTACTTTCAAAGAGACATGAGAGAGCAAAAGATCAATGCCGGCATCGCTGAGATGGAATCACATATTCCATCGCACAAGAGCATGAACATCAAGGCGTTCTCAGCGTTCATTGTGGGTTACGAACATGCGGGTATGATGTTCAACTTCAACTTTGATTTTCAAATTTGGTAATACATGGGCTGACATCCATCAATATCCCAGATCCCGCCCTGGATGAGTTTTACCAGGATGAGATTCACGTAGCTCGCAGATTCAAGGCGTTCTCACTGCGGCAAAAGTCTGAGAGCAAGGTCATTAAGAACATGCGACGCCGGTATGGAAAGCATTTTTCGGTCATCTTGGGTGATTGGAGCGATGCCGGGAAAACAATGCGCTTTCAGGAGTCATCGAAGACCAAGGGGTGAGTGACCAAGATTGGTGGTATCTACTATGTATTCTATTATGCTAACTCATCATGGAACAGATTCCGCACACTCTTTGCGAGAAACGGCATTCCATGCTACTTGCTGGATGAGTATCGAACGTCGTCCGTGTGCCCTGACTGCCACGGCCGTGTGAAGAAAAACATCCGACGTCGGCTGTTGTCTCGGCCGTGGCAAGCTAGAAAGGGAAGAATGGAATACGTCCATGGATTGGTGGTTTGCCCCAACCCCGAATGTATCAACCAAGACTGGACGCCATTTGGGATTCCTGGAAGACGACCACTACGGATGAAAGTGCACAATCAGGATGTCCTAAGCACCAAGTATTTTCTCTTGATTGTGCGTTTGGTGGTGTTTGGCGATGGCCACAGACCAGACGCATTCTCCCGTAACCGGTAGTCTAGATTTCACCCCATCCCATTTTCCGTGGTGGTTATCTGCCATCCACATCATTGTACCTCTGCCTGAGGCGTCGCCGATGAAGGCAACTTGTATCCCAGATCCCACGGCCAACTCCCAGGCCAACTCCCAGGCCAACTCCCAGGCCAACTCCGCTGCGTTGCTCCCCTAGTTGCTCCCCCCCCCCCCCCCCCCCCCCGGCCCCCTAACCCCATTACGTCAAGCCAGGGTTTTCTCTCTCCCATGGAAGCTCTCGAATGCACTCTCTCATTAGACCCTGCAAGATCTGGGGCTGAAAGTGAGGATGGGAGGATGTTTTAGGACGTCAGGCACGGACGTCTTGTTGGGTCGCGCGCAAGGCGCAGATATGCGTCTTTGTGCACGTCGCACTTCTTACTTTTGATGCAACTTTTGATTGAAGAAGAAATATGGAAAGGTTTCCTCCATCTACTGCATCTGAAAGCAAATGTAATGCAAAATGTGTGAAGCATGTAATATGTATAATTGTGAAGCAAATACTAGTCAACGGATACAGTCTCTGCTCCTACTCTTGTCCTAGTTTTCTTTCAACGGGGCTCATTGTCACGCTTGGCTGTTCCAATCTGGGAACGGATAGGCTTACGAGAAAGCACCGAGGCCCTTCGCCGCTATCTATTTCCTTCCATGATGGGAGGGTCTCCTAATCACTGGGTAATATACTCAATCCATCGAACCTTTTTCTGAGGGAGTACGATGAGCGCAAGGTTCGCCAGGATGGCCTGCATTATCGGAGGATATGGTCGCTAACGAACAATTGCAACCCCCGAAATCTCTAGCCCACCTTTCGCAAAAAAAATCTCAAGATGGAATTATATGAGGAAGGAAAGCATTTTCGAGATTCAAGAGCACACGCGGAGTCAAGGTTTTCTTCACTGCAACAGGCTTACCTCCATCTCCGCTTCCACACGCATGACCTTCTTGATTTCCTCATCGGTTCAAGTTCACCTATTAAGAAGAGATATTCTATGTACAATGGTATGATCCGTGGTCCTTGATCCGTGGTCCAGAGTCCGTAAGTTTTCCTTTCAGGCGCTCGTTGTCCGCCTACCCCAACTATCTCATACGATGGCAGGGGAATGAATGCCCAAGATGCCGCCTCGAGCGATGTGCAAAGATTCTCGAGCGAGAGTGTCATCGCTTCCCACGCGTCATGGGCAGAAAAGCAGCAGGGAAGTTATCCCAGAAACCAGCCCCATTGCCCGAAACACCCGATCGCACAAGTGACCCACAATGGCAGTTGAAAACCCATTCACCCGCTTCGGAGGCCGTCCCGTCATTCTGGACGGCGGCCTCGCGACCGACCTCGAAACCCACTTCGGGAAGGATCTGTCGGGAGGTCTATGGAGCGCAAAGTAATGTACCAAAGAGTGAAGTTGTGAGGAGGGGAGGCTTTCTGCAAACTTGGTTATATATGGTATGCTTCTTTTATAGGCTTTTGAGGGAAGACCAGGAATCCATCAAGGCTGTGCATAGGCGGTACTTTGATGCTGGGGCTGGTGAGTGCAGTGGACCTAGGAGCCGCGGAGTGTACTGAAACTAAACGACCTACCCACCACCCCAGACGTAGCAACAACATCCTCCTACCAAGCCTCTCTCGAAGGCTTTGCATCAGTCGGCATCTCCCACACAGATGCCCTGCGCCTAATGCGTCTCTCCATAACTCTCGCCATCGACGCTCGGTCAGAACACATGGCAAATCGCCCATTAAAGGATACACGGCCACTCCCGCTTATCGCAGCCTCGGTCGGTTGTTACGCTACCTTACTGGCGGATGGGAGCGAGTATACAGGGATCTATCCGGCTGATGTCACGGAGGAAACGATCTCCGCGTTTCATATCTCGAGGGTCATGGCACTCCTAGGGAGTGAATCCCCCACATCGACTACACAACACCACCAACCAGACATAATAGCCTTCGAAACCATCCCCTCCCTCCTCGAAGCCCGCGCCCTCGCCCTCGCCTGCTCCACCCATCCCATCCTCTCCACATTCCCCTCCTGGGTCACATTCACCTGCCAACCAAACGGTCGCGTCGCCCACGGTGAAAAGCTCGCAGACTGCATCGCGGCCCTGGACATCGCGCCTTCCATCGTCGCCGTCGGGATCAACTGCACTGACCCTGCCCTCTGCGAGGATCTCGTGCGCATCGCCGCGACTGCTGCAAAGGGACGGACGGTGATTGTTTATGCGAATAGTGGAGAGGTGTATGATGGTGTGCGCAAGACGTGGATCAGGAAGGAGGGCGTTGTCGGTGGGCCGGGGTGGTATGCGGAGTGTGCGAGGAGGTGGGTTGAGGCTGGGGCGGATGCCGTTGGTGGGTGTTGTCGGACGGGTCCGGAACATGTTAGGGCGGTTTTTGAGGGGTTGAGGGGGTAGAGTTGAGGCGGGTGGGGGAGGTGGTTTGCGATAACGCTATGCTCAGGTAGATGCGGCGTAGGTCTAGTTTTTTGGACAGCTTGAGGAAGACAAATCAATGGAATGCAAGTCACTACGTTTTGCGACAGCACATCTCTGTTCCGGGCCAGCCCTAGACTGCGAGATGTAGACACAATATGAACATGAAACTAGTTGAACACGACTGATCACTGAGAGAAATGACCGCCTATTTGGCAAATAAGCCTATCCAAAAACTTAAAAGGAGCTAAGAATAAACAAAAGAGGCCTTCGTCTACATATAATGGCAATGGCAGAGAACAGAGTGCGAATACGGGATTATTACGCCATTCGCTCACAGAATCGTGCATTTGCATCCCGTCTGTCTCTCCTGTGCGTGTTTGGGCGTCGTGTTAACCGTCGGCGGTGTCGGTAATGAGGTACCTTTAACGCTGACGGCTTCATGTCGAGTCATCGGCGCAAGCTCTATCGAGGTCTTGAACGAGTCAGGCACGACTGCCTCAGGCTCGGATGGTCTCGCGACGGGCGTTGCCGGTTGCTCGGCATCATTCCTACCCGCTTTCTCAGACCGATCCACCATCGGAATACTCTCACCACCCGTCTCCCCATCCCCAACCACTAACTTCTCCCCACCCTCTCTTTCGCTCAGCTCACTCGGCACATCCCCCTTCGACACATGCACATCGATCTCCGACACCAGTTTCGTCCCACCATCCGCCGCCGCAGCAGCGGATTTCTGCATCGTCGTAGCAGTCGTAGAGGTATTAAAACTCGTCGCAAAGGACGTGGATGTCGTCGCTGATGAGATGGAGGATATGCTTTTCCCTGACGATACGGAGGTGCGGTTGCGGTCTTTCCGGCTTTGTTGATGTTCGTGGTTGACTCTTGGGCCGAGGTTGGAATGGGAGTGAGAGGTGGTTAAGGGGCGGAGGGGGTGGGGCGGTAGGTGGGGTGGTGGGGGTAGGTCGAGCGGGTGGGAGGAACCGGATGAATTCGGTGATGCGGGGCGAGGTGTGGGGTCGTGGAGGGCAAAGGAGTCTTGGTTGAGGTTTACTGCGTCGGGGTGTGGTTGGAGGTGTATTAAACCCTGTTCGTGATGTTCGGATGGACCAGCATCCGATGCTGCTGCCCGTGGGCTGTCACCTTCGAATACGGATGTGATGCCCGTGTTCAGACGTGCGCTGCATTCTATGTATCGTTCTGCTCCGATTCGCCGGGACATGTCCAGGGCCTAGAGAGATCCATGAAGTTGGAACTGGTCTATCACTCCATGCGCAGGGCCCACGAGCTTACCTTTTCGAAGGAGACGGGGGTGAGTTGCTGGCGTGCTAACCTCCGGAGGGTAGAAGGATCGTTTCGGAGATCCTGTTTGCAGCCGACGAGAGTGATTGGGACATCCGCGCTGAAGTACCGGACTTCAGGGATCCACTGCAGACACCCAGAGGAAGGCCAGAAGTAAGGTCCAACCATTCTTCATTGAGATTCCGACGCAGTATCAACAGCTATCCACCATGCGTCGCCCTCTGCTACCCACCTTCTCCTCAACGTTCTCGAAAGACAACGGGTCATCGATAGCGAAAAACACAAAAAATGAGTCGACCCCATCGTAACTGTACGGCCGAAGTCTATCAAACTCCTGGGTCCCCGGCGTGTCCCACAATTCATCGTACGGGCATGTTGCTGGCGGTTGATATGTGTCTGAGACTAGAGTGGGGTAGCGTTCTATGGTCAGTACAAACGGTTCGTGAGATAATGCTTCGAACGCTCCCACTCACCGGTACTCTGATAGCTTTCAGGATACGGCTTCCCGCAGTATACGAGAAGAGAGGCGCTTTTGCCGACCTTCTCGTCGCCGACACAAACGACTTTCTTTCTCATCCCCAGCATATCTTATGGTCGTGGGAATTTCTTTCGGCAGCTCTCTGTGCCAAACGTTCCTGGCTATACGCGACCCACAATGAAGCGTTGAACAGGCGGCGTATTCTTTCCCCTACGCAGGGCTGGTTCACCGTTGACCCGCCGAGATGATGCTATCCCTCCTTCCCGTCGTGAGCCGTCGTGTTGTTGCCGGTATTCTGTGTTCCGACGGACCTGTTGCGACGCTGTGTTGTATGCAGTGTTTGAGCCAGGTTTGAGCTCAGCAGCAGCCGCGTCTGCGTTCGTCATCTTTTGATTTGCGCAAAGTCGAAACAGGTCAGACATCGTCGACTTGCATGGGAGGGGGTTGACAGGCATCGAGAGCGACCCCTACTGGACCCCTACACAGAACTCTGGACTTCTCCGCTACCCTGTTTCTGTAGCCGGTAATACCGCCTCATATTACTCTAGCTTTCCGAGTTTGCTGTGGTTTGCCTCCCACCTGTGTAGCAAAGATGTCGAAGGACCAGACGCCCAGGACGCCTCCGCGGAATGGTGAGTAGACGGCCATACAATGAGGTTAACGAGGCAACCCTTGCAGTTCACAGGGCGCTGAGTGTCGTTTTTCTCTTTTGACCCGGTTCCCTTTTTGGCTCTTAGCAAGGCAACGTTTGTGTCGAAATGTTGTAAGTAGCCGGGTTAGGTTGTAATGCACCACCTTGCTTGAAGCTTACGGCGTAAACCCTCTTCCTTCCCTCCTTGAATATGTATTGAAGGTTATTCATGGATTTTGTAAATTCGAGAATAAAGGCTGCGAATACAACCATGATGCCGTGAGTCTCCTTTGTCCTTGTGCTTTTTGGTGGGAGTGGGGCGTTAACCTCCCACGCGCCGGTTGCCCTCGTCCTATATGCGATACAGACGAAAGCAACTCCAGGATCACAGCCCAGCTCGAGTCCAGATCTGTACGTTCATCAGTCTATGTATATGCCGATAGGATGGTGGGATCGGGCAACTTATGGCTGTTCGGTATATGTGCCATGAAAGAAAGTCAAAGCTGCGAGTGGACTCTCCGATCTTCACGCCAACGTCGCTTGCCAATACTGTTAACAACGATGGGAGCAATCTGTTTCCGTATGCGACTACGAAGGCGGGCGGTACGTTCGACTACTGATGCAGTTGGAGGGCAAGCATCATCCCTGACATGTTCCCGCAGACAGAACATCGGCTCGGATACCAACGGGGGCGTCTGGGCCAGGGCATGACTCAATACCGACGAGGTTTGGAAATGTCCTTGAGAGCAAGGCTATGTACTCGGGACTAAGAGTGAAACTATGAAGCATGCATCAACCGTACGACGCCCAAGCATACAACTATTACGGAGGCAACACCCCAGGAGAAAACATGGGATCATACGGGGGCCAACAACAGCATCAGGTGATGATGTCGGATATGGGGATGGGACATGCGATGGCACGGATGAGTCTGGGGCCATCTGCACAGCTGTCGGACGGGCAGGTTCGACTTGTTGCGAAATGCTATCTTGGCTGCGAGCGAAGGACTGACGGGTGGAGCAGCAGCAGCAGGGAGGGTATTATCAGCAATCCTCGGACGAATATTACCCGCAACAACAGCAGATGCCGATGGTGGCGCCTCAACAGCCGGTACAGATGATCCCCAATGCCATCTTCGTGCGCCGGAAACGATGGCTAAATGCTCCTCTGCTACATGCAGTTGCAATATCATCTGTACACCACGCCACTACCACATATCTCCAATTTGCACCCGCATCAGAAGACGATACATGCCTTTTTTATGGCGGATAAGCTGAGGGAGGAGCTGCAACGGAAAAGCGAAGCAATACAGCAGGTTCTGGATACCACATGTGAGCGTCTTCAGCAGGAGGATGTTTTGATAGCCGGTTTAGAGCTTGAGCTGACCACTTCGAAACCCGAAAATGTCGCAACAACAGCGCCGGAGTACCAACGGCTACCTTCGGAAATCCATCACTACCACTCATTCTACCCACTGGACGTCCATCGGGAGCGAAGCGTGAAAGTGTTTGGATATCCGACATGGGTGTATAAAGCGTTTTCGTCCAATGACGGAAAGCCTTATGTTCTGCGGAGAGTGGAAGGTGGGGACTACGTCGAGAGGATGCTTTTGACGTGGGTAGAGGGAAAGCGGATCTGACGCTCATATCTCCAATGCAGGCTTTCGTCTGACGAATGAAGCAGCAATGTCGAGCGCGGAATCGTGGCGGAGAATACGGCATTCGAACATAGTTTCGGTGCGGGAAGCTTTCACCACGAAGGCGTTCGGGGATCATTGTAAGACCAGTTGCCGTTGACACCACCCCAAACTCCTCAGGGGAAACTCACGAACTGCTTCCACAGCACTGGTGTTTGTCTACGACTACCACCCATTATCCACAACCCTCTACTCAAAGTACTTCAGCCAGCCAGCGCACAATGTGGCCGGAGTCCCAGAGAAAAACCTCTGGAGCTTCATCACACAGCTGGCATCAGCGTTGAAGACCATACATTCGGCAGGACTCGCGGCGCGGATCATTGAGCCTAGTAAGATTTTGTTGACGGGGAAGAATAGGTATGGGAGGGGAGATTTGCTGGAGGAGACCTCGAATGTGCAAACTCGAGCTCAATGACTGCACATACAGGATACGGCTAAATTGCTGTGGGATCTTTGACATGCTTACCTTCAATGGGGGGAAGAACACTCCACATCACCAAGTAAGGGCACTCAACCCACCTTCAATCTTTCGGAGTCGTTCACTCATGCCTTTCTGCCCACGTAGCAAGAAGACCTCCTCCACTTCGGCCAACTAATTGTAGCACTAGCCTGTGGCTCGCTAGCCGCCGTGCACAACCTGTCAAAGTCGATCGAATACATTGTGCGACACTACTCGGCCGACATGAAGAACGTGATCCTGTACCTGCTGAGTAAACCTAGCCAGTACAAGACAATAGATGATGTCGTGACGATGATTGGGCCAAGGATCTTGCATGAGATTAATAGTGCTCATCAGTGAGTTGATGAGCGGAGACGGCCGGCAATGCACGCTCGCCTTGACTTACGATGGGCTTCCTTTATCCGCAGCTACAACGATCTACTGGAAGGCGAGCTCACCCGCGAGCTCGAGAACGGGCGACTAGTACGCCTACTATGCAAGCTTGGGTGCATCAACGAGCGACCAGAGTAAGCCATCTTTTCCTCACATCCCATGCGTCTGCCTCAACACCACTGACGTTAACTGTGCAGGTTTGACATGGACCGGACGTGGTCGGAAACAGGCGACAGGTACCTCCTGAAACTGTTCCGAGACTATGTCTTCCACCAGGTTGATGAGGATGGGACGCCGATTACCGATATGGCGCATATCATTCAGTGTTTGAACAAGGTACCATTGGTTGCCATTCGCGTCGATCACTCCATCATACTTGAGATTTGGAACAAACCTTTGACCGCCGCCACCTCCCTTTACAGCTGGACGCCGGCATAGACGAAAAAGTAATGCTAACCTCCCGCGACGAGCAATCCTGCCTCATCGTCAGCTACAGCGATCTCAGATCCTGTATCGAGAACACCTTCTCCGAGTTGCTCAAGAAGCGGTGATGCTTCCCACCCACCGCCCTTCTCGGACACTACCCCAACTATTCTGCATCCATCTTTTAGTACATTTTGTCTAGGTTTTGGGCTGGAATTGGTCGTAATTGGGTTTAGTCCTTGGGATCCTGCCTTGCAAGTGTATATCCCTTGTTTTGATGAAATGCTATTGATGCAAAAATGTTTGCTGGCAAGTTGGTGTTGATTGGGTTATTGCGGAAGTTGCACATTGGCGTATCGTAATGTTATGGCGTATCAACCATCGTCCGGACGCTTTCGAATTCAAATACACACTATCCCAATCACTGAGAGCCAGCTTGAACGTCTCATCATCTTCCAAAAAAAAAAAAGCAGGAAGTCATATTCCTCTCCAAAATCATCCAAAAAGAAACAAAAAAAACTGAAGTCCCACAATATGCAAAAAAAAAAAAAGAACCACCTCCCCAATGGCTAATCCGTCGGCGACTGCCCCTGGGCAATCAACAAAATGTTCTTCAACTTGGTCGCCTCATCATCCGCCCCCTGCTTCGCCTTCTTCCTCAGGTTCGGCGAAAGCTTGAAGCTGATCACCTGCCCCTTGTCGTCGCCGACGAGCAGGATGGGTTCGAACGGATTGAAGGCGATGTGGGTGAGTTTGGCTTTGCGGATCACTTGTTGCTCGCAGATGGGCTCGTATTTGTTTTCGTTGAGGTCGAAGACGCAGACCTTGGGGGGGGGGGGGGGGGGGGGGGGAGAGGGGGCAAATCAGTTTCATTAGGCCCCATCATGGAGTTGTGATACCCGTCGTCGTCGAGGAGCACAAAACCCGCTCACGAAACAACACAAAACGCACCTTCCCATCCGCCGTCGCAGCCGCAAACACGGTACTTGAGTACGGCGCCCACGCGATATCCCCCACGCTGCTCCCCAGATCAAACGTCATGATCGGCTTATTCGAGTCGTGGTCCCACAGCTTCACCGTCCAGTCCGCCGACGCGGAGAGGAAGATGTTGTGCTGGAAGTGGTTGTAGCGCACGGCGTAGACTGACATTTGGTGGCCCTGTCGATGCATATCCCATCACATCATTTTCCGTGCCCGTATCAGTAGATGCGAAAGATGAATGAGAAACGCACCTCAAAACTCATCAAAAACTGGTTGTTATACTCCTTCGAGCATTTGAAGATCTTCCCTTCCTCGGTGCCGACGACAAAGAGATGGTCCAATTTCTTGTGGAAATCGAAACAGCTGCCACCTGCAAGGCCGAACAGCTCTTCGTCGTTGGTGGTTACGTCGCCGGATGTGGGGGAGGGTTGTAGGTCGATTTTGAGTTTTATTACGTCCTGCGGAGAAGATTAGGGTTTGATTTGTGAGATTCGTTTGTACTTGGTAGATGGGAAGGATGGGAGGGATGTTTTTGGCTTACGGTGTATGCCAGCTCGGTCTTGAGCAACGTCCACTGCATAACCCGGCCGTCGGTGGAGATGGAGAAGAAGTTGGCGTTGCCGTCCAGGTCGTCTTTCTGCCATGACACCTACCAAGACCAAAAATCGCAAACTCATCTGTCAGGAAAAAAAAAACGAACCCCCTTGGCCAAGTGCAAAAATCGAACATGGGTTCTTTTACCTGCCACACCGGATCGGTATGCTTCCCGCCCTTTCCAGGCGACTTGAACAGCGGGGCCTCGGATTGCTCTTGCATGCTGTATACCGCCACGGATCCGTCGTAGAGTCCCACGGCAAGCATGGAATGATGCTACATGTTTGAACAAAAAAAAACCACGCATCAGACGACCACGCCTTCCCACTCACCCCCACCCCCAACCTCCCCGTAATCCCCCACCCCCCATACCTGCGGATGGAAATCCAAACTCATAACCCCACTCTCAGTCACAAACAGAAACTCGGGATAACTCGGATTCTTCAACGTGAACCCCGCGACCATCCCGGGTCCTTGCCGTGAGAAATCATACGACCCGTACCCGACCGCGAAGAAATCGGGGAAGCGACTGTTCCAACCGAGAGATGTCACTTGTTTGCGCTTTTCTTTTTCGTGGATGAATTTCCAGAGAGGCAGAAGGGTGCCTTTTGGGAAAGAATATTCTCAGGTCAGTGAACGCGGCTGAGATATGTGACTGGAGGGAGACAAAGGTGGGTGATCCATACCCTTCCCAGGATTCATGTCATCCATCGCATCCTCATAAAACTTATAGTCCTGCGCAATCTCATCAAACGTGTTCTGGTTCGCCATGCGTTCAACAACTATCAATGCTTTCCGCAGCTCTGTGTTTTTGTAGTACACGTCTTCGGTGTGTGTTTCGGTCGGCAGGAGGTTCTTGTCTTCTTCTTTGGCGGATTTGTGGGGGGTTGGTGCTGGGGCCTACGGGAAATTGAAAGAGTGTTGGACAAGATGTACTACGGGAGATGAGATAACGAGGGGCATGCATACCTTTACTTTCGCCCGCTCCTTTTGTTGCTGGTCTTCCATGTATGCGTCGAAGATGGACCATTGTGTGACTGTGTCGGAGAATGTGCGTTGCGGTGGTGGTTCGGTGTTTGTTGAGCGGTCCTACACATTTTCCCAGATCGGAAATTTCGCCAGGATCAGTCTTTGATCACCAACATCGACGCACCGCTCGTCTATCCATCCTCTCACTCCCCACGCCCTCCTTACCCGGTATGGATTATTGATAGTCTGCGCCGCCCGCTCACTGAAATTGAACTGATTCCTCAACGGTCCCTTCGGCTTCTTATCATCCTCCTCTTTCGCCTTCGCTTCCTCTGCCGCCTTCTCGTCTTCCGTGCCTGTGCCTGCTTCTGTTGATGTTGTTGTTGTGCCGTCGGCGGTGGTGGACGTGTCGGTTGTGGATGTTGTAGTGGGTGCTTCGGCGGGTGGGGCGGTTTCGTCGGTGGTTTTGAAGGTTAAGAATCTGGAGACGTTATATGTTGATGAGCGACTCATCGCAGAGACGGAACCCATCAGCACCTTCCGAACGATCTCGTTTTCCTACCCATCAAACTCAAAATGCACGACCAAATGGTCCACATTCGGGCTCGCCTTGAAGACCTTCTCCCTGAAATTGAACCTCGCGATGTTCTGCGGCGCGTGCGGGTTGTTGGCATTCAGGATGCGCGTGAGCTCTTCGTTCAGCTCGGCTTCGGTGAGGGTAAGTTGGCCGGGGGGTTTTAAAAGGACTTTTGGCTGGGGTTTGGAGATATTTTAGGGTGTATTTGATAGAGAGCGGGAAGGGGTTTTGGACTTAGACTTACTGGAAGCCAGTCTTCCCCGCCGCCACCGCCGCCTTCGTCGTTGAGTGCGTCGCGGAGTGAGTGCATGGATGCTGTACGGCCGCCGAGTACGGAGGTCTCCGGGCCCGCCTATATGGCAGGTTGAGGAAGAGATTTGAGCATATTTGTCTCCTTTTGAACGCTCTCCATGCATCCATTCCATCCTCGCTTTCCCCCCATCCGCTCGCACCTTTGCCCTCCGGACCGATTTCATATTCATCTTTGCAAGTTCAAACGCGTTGGGGGAAGATATCTGAATGGAGGTGTTGATTTTTCAATATAAACAAACTATTTCGAACGAATGCAATCCAGACAGTCCTCTCTCCTCACCTATGCGTTTTTTTTACGGGTAGCCGGTGAAACTGTAGGTGACAATGTTTGCACCCATTTGCGCAATTCGGACGACGACAAGAAGCAAGTTGAAAGGGCATTTCGCGCGGCCTCCGTGAGTGCTTACGTCAGGGAGTGACACATGCGCGTTCCCCGAAGGAGCCCCAAATCCACGAAGGCGGCGAACATCTCAACCGTCTTGTTGAGCCGATTCTGTGGAGTGGGCAACGTGCTGCTGCGCCTCCCTTATGGCAGGGAGAGTGGTTTGTCGCAGGTGGCCTGCAGGATTCGCCTGGAAGGACGGCTACCTCGTTACGATTGCATCCACAGAAAAGTCAATGCAATCGAGAATGAGTATTGAGCAACAAGGAGCAAGTATCCCAAGCGTAACAGAACGCCTGACATTGTTTTGATGACTATGAAAGAGAGCACAAAAGACGACTGAGGCTTGTGTCCTCGTCAGAGGGATATGAGGTATGATGTTCGTTGTCCTGCCACGAACAAGGAAAGATTCGTGGAGAATCCACGAATATTCGGCATACTGATGATGATACAAAAAAAGGTAGGGACCGATGACCGGGAGAAATAACGCTATCCCAATCTCATCCATCTATGGGGTTGGGGGATCGAAAAGCCCTTCACCAGATCACAGTTTCGCAAAAGAGGACAGCAGCGCGACAGCCCTGCTTGGATGCGACATCTCACTCAAAAACGCCGAATCCATCACGTCGTCGTTATTCGCGAAATGCTTGTTGCTCGACAGATCCTTAAACCCCATCAACCAGCAGTCGAAATCCCTGGTTTCGATAAAGTGGTCAAGTAAGATTGACATGAAGCAGTGCCGTTCATCGCGCCCGATTCCGTCGATGAGCTCCTCGACAGCGCCGCTGGGTCCTTCGACGCATTGCATGAATTGGCCGTTGTTCATGAGGAGCATGCCGCTGATGTTGCAGACCTCGTTGCGGGTGCGCGCTTCGACGAGGATGTCGGCCATGTCGGCGCTTGTGAGGCCGTGGCTGGCTTGGCTGACGTAGACTAGTTGCCGAATTTTCTCGTTTCCGGGCGATGCTGGTGGAGTGCCGTTTGTTTGGGTGGGGCTGGGTGTTCTGTCGCTCATGTTTGTTGAGGGATTGAATATGGGAGGATGTTGTTTGTATCTGTTGTTGGCGGATTGATATCGACGGCTGGTAGTAGTGATTTTCGGTAAGACGGTTGAAAGGAAATATGCAGACCTATCAGGCTCTCAGCTTATATATGAACCCCAAACGACTTTTCAGTTCCCCACGTCAAAAGCCTCGACACGAAAACCGCAGTACACTCCGGCTCAGTGTGAAATACGCTTGCCTCCAAAGCTCACCCCAAGCAGCTTGGCATAATACTCACCAGCGAAAATAGGCTTCTCCTCGTTGCTTCTAGCACGTCCGTATCTCGTCTAGAAAGCGAGGCCCTGATAGTGACGTAGGTATGGGGCTGGTGCTGTACTGTATGCTCAGGGCTCAGTTATGGACAGGAGGGGGTATGTATGGGGCCCGACAATAGCGACAGCGAGCGACGTTGTAGGGACGGTTGCGACGGATTCCCAGAGTGCGTTCTCTCTCTCTCTCTCTTTCCTTTGGGCGCGGATCACAATCTCCCCACCGGTTTGGACTGTGGCTGGCGCGACGGGCTTCCACGGGGTCGGCGCGTCATCCCGGCTTCCAGACAGCTCATAGCACCAGGAATCGTGATTCACGATCAGCATCCAAGCACCGGGTAATCAGATGGTTTAGCCGCGATGGTCATTACCGACCGCTTGGAGTCGAGGACCTCCTCCGAAACTGTCGAAAACGACAACAAAACCGGCCCGGAAATAGTCAAAAAGGATTATTGGAAAGGAAGTTGGCTTCTCTCATATATGCACATAGTTTACATAATAGTACGTAATTTAGCGATATACATTTGGAGTACCTCCCCCGGTAGCCACGATCCACATGCGCACGGTATCTGTCGCGATATAATTTACCCGCACATTGTAGTGCATCGGAAATCGCATGTAACTGAGAAGGTTTGCCCGTCCAAACTCGTCCATAGCTCTTCGATTTCGGCCGAGGAGAGACCTCCTTTACTTGCCCGTTGGCCATGGAGAACAGCGAAGCATGGATCGGAGAACTTGAGGACAGGCTACTGCCACTTGAGTTCAATGTACTCCGAAGATCTAGTCTTGCGTCCACCGCAATGTTCACTGCCGACGTTACATAGTCAGGTAGCAAAAAGCCGTCTCCCCTCGAGAATAATGACGACGCGTCTCTCGGCCTTGTCTCCGTCGGGACACAGGTCGGGACAGGAGCAGAGGGACAAGGCGGCACTGCGACGTGGAACATCTCCATTGACGTTCACAATCGCCAGCCCCATCTGAACCCAGAGACAGCGCGGGGCCTATGCTTGGAGCTCAACATCGGGGTTTCACAAATGCCAAATGCCAAATGCTACGTTTTACAACTATAGAGAGCCTGAAGTGAATGGCATATTCGGATTGAAGAAAATCGAAAGTCCCGCGCCTTCAAGTTACGTCAGAAACTACTACAACCCACTCTATGAGGTTTAGCGCGCAGATGTAGCCAGTCTAACCAGCGTGCTATGAGAGAGGAGTGGGCATCATGGCTCGAAAAGATTCATGATGGATGGAGGTTGGGGCGGTAGGATGAACTGTACGGCGTTCGCCTCCATCAGTACGTATGCACATATACGACTGCTTGGTGGTGCTCAATCGACGTGGCCTGATCAACCTTACGAGACAATGTCTGCGGCAGGGGTACTGCAGGCTATACGTGCGACATGACAGACGCTATTGTTTCCGACGGTGATCGACGACGAGTGACGACGACGAGCTGATCAGTACTTGAAGTTATCCGTGTCGCCCGCAGTCTAGTTTCATTGACCAGTAGTGACTAAAAGGCAAGGCTCCATGACCTGAGGCGTGGACTTGCAGCCTGCGAAACATCAATGGGCTAGGCGGGTGAGCGTGAGGTTAAAGGGGAGGAGGCCGGGATGGCGCCGATTAACCTTTTGCCGGGGCTCGCTGTTCTTTTCTCGACTTTGAAACCGAAAGGGTAGTGGGTTTGCCCACGTCGCCCACCCGATTCCATAGCCCACACAAACTACACTTTGCCGAGTGAAGAAAAGCCCACCATACTAAACTTTGTCAATCACGAATCTGGCAATGCGCGGGCTGGGAAGAACACGCGCAGTAGAAGCTTTGGGTGCAGAACAGTGGGTCAAGAACGCACGGAGATCGAGTGGGCGAAGTTGGGAAAACCCACTAAACTGCATTCTAGGCGCATTATCCACTTTATCAAGGCTGTTCCTTTCCACCGGCGTTGCTCTCGTCTCCCGTTGATGGACCTATCTGTTGCTTCCCACTTGTGCCTGAGATTCTTGGCTTTTGCGCTAGTGCAAGATCTGCGTTCTGAACCCGCTTCATTCCAAGATAGTTGAGCAACTTATCGTGGCTCTGCCGAAGCTTCCAGCGTGCATATCAGTTCTGTCAGTGGACAGCAGTCTGTACCCAGAAATGGATCCGTTTCAGTTCCGTGTGTCGCGTGAGGTTATCCCAAATTCAAACTCCGCGCAAAAGTGATCAACCCCCTCCGATAAACGTCCGAGTTGACCAAAGCGCCGGGCAGACAATACCGACAACCTCCAGATAAGAGCCGATCCTACGATTTGTTCGTTTTCCTATAGCTGCCGAGTTCCGGTCCCGAGCATTGAACGATTTCAGTTGCGGTCCCCGCACTATCCGGCACCAAGGGACGCCAGCTTTTGTATTTTTAGGAGGGCGATCATATCTTTTGCTGGGTCAATCCTAGAAGTCATATCAGTCATGAGGATCCGGTTTTGGGCTTATCGGAGTTTCGTGCGGTCTCGGCCTCGTATGGGATATGGGATTTCATGTCTGCTGGTTATCAAGTGGGAGATTACAGTCATTATTCTACGTTGAGCCGACTTATAAACACTAGCGGTCCTCGTCTGCGCTCCGCCTACGACTATTCGTCGTCTCAACTATCCTACAATCCGTCGTCTCCACAACGACTCCTTCACGATTCAAGCGACCCATACCATCATACAGCACATCGGAGAACCCCGCCATCAGCTCGCCACCATGCCCATCAGCATGGCCATCCAGCCCTCGCCGGCTTTCCCGTCGACCACTCTCAAACCCACCTCAACCTCCTCGTCCAAACCCTCATCATCAACCTCTCAACCCCTACCTCTCCTCTCCCTCCCCACCGAAGTCCTCGAACAAATCGCCCTCTACCTCCCGACCCTCCTCCCCATCTCCCACACCCACCGCCTCCTCCGCCTCATCATCCACCACCCCTCCACGCAACGCAAATGGGTCCGGCGCTGGTTCACCAAACACCACGCGGGGAGCTGGGAAGTGCTCTTCCGCGCCAACGAGACGGTATGGAAGCGATTAGCCGACGGCACCAGCAGCGTACCGTTCGGCGCAACCGACGAATGCGGTAGCGTCAATCGGTTTGCGGTCCGCGACGCCGTGAAGGAGGGCATGGGGATGTGGGAAGGGGATGTGATTGCGACGTTGGGGTGTGTGAGGGGGATGTTGAGGAGTTTGTTGGCTGTGGCGCCGTATACGCCGGCGAGCGAGGGGAGAGATGCGGATGCGGAGGTTGGGGATGTGGGTGCGGCCCTGACGGAGCGGGAGTTTTGGAAACGGGTTGCGATGTTTGCGAGTTATTTTGGACAGGTGGAGGCTGTGGACGTGGCCTTGAATGCTCTTGCGAGGTTGCCGGCGGTGATACCCAGTGAAGACGCTGCGAAGGGACAACCGAAAAGCGAGGATTTTGCTAGTGTTCTCGCTCGGGCGCTGCACTGTGCTGTCCTCGGCGGCGCCAAACCGACGGTCATGTACCTTCGCACTCGCCACAACGCCGTGCTGAGCCTGAGCGACCACTCGGCCACGGGAGATGACACGGACACTCTGATGACATGGTGTCAGGATCTCGAAGAGATCGTTATGGACGAGATTGGCGAAAGCATGATGGCGGACGAGGTCACTTCCGCAGAAATGCTCGCGCAGGAGAGGAGGAACAAAGGCCGTGCCGACTCTCTCACATGCTTTGTGGACGCACTGGACGAGGCAAACAGGGCCGAAGCAACGGACAAGCTGATCTGTGCGGGGATGGGGAACGAGGCGGTCCTGAGCGTCTTGTTGCGCAGGGGCGCAGTCGGTGGGGATGTCCACCAGGCTGCGATCGCTCACCTTGTGGAGCGATACCTTCCAGCGTGGAACTGTCAAAGCGGTGTTCCACCACCGCAGGTCCCGCCGACGCATGTTCTAAATGCGCTCCTACACGGGGCCGTACGGGCCGGCAATGAGAAGTTGGTGATGGCCCTCGCACCGGTCGCTGACCGCACCCACATCCTCATCGCCGCACTCCGCATCGCCGTAACATCGAACTTCAACGCCGCAACGGACATGGACCCGGATCACGCAAACCTAGCAATCACCCAAACCCTCCTCCAGCGCCTCCCCTCCGTCCTCTTCACGCCCTTCACATCCTCCTCCCCACCCGCCTACGGCCTCCACACAACAGCCCACGCCCTCAAAGACCTCCTCGAACTCATCCTCCTCACCGCCCGCCCGGACGTCGTGTCCCACCTTTCCGACGCCCGCCACATCTCCCTGTCGCATCCGTCCGCGTCGCCGATCGTCTCGTCCCTGCTCGTCTCGGCCGTCCTGCACACCAACCCGACCCAACCCGTCTCGCTGTCGCCGTTGGGCGAACTGCGGCCGTCGGACATCCCGTCCATGGTGACCCGATCATCGATATCGCTGTCGTCGCCGCGGAACACGACCAGACACATCGCCCGTGTGTTCGCCGGGCTGGATGCCCTGCACACCGGCTTGCGCATGGACGTTGGCCGGGATGCACGGCAGGCGCTCGTGCTCGCCGCCGAGTTTGGGAACAGGGCCGCGGTCAAGTGGATGTTGGAGCGGGACGGGCAGGGGGTGTTGAAAGAGACGAGTGAGAAGGCGTATGCGAGGGCGGTGGAGGCGGTGGGGAAGGGGAGGATTGGGGATGATGTGTTGAGGGAGTTTTGGGAGCGCGGGGTTGGGGGTGGGGTTGAGACGGCGTAATTGGACGGATGTTTTAGATATGCATTTCTGGCGACGGCGTAGTTTTTTCGTCATAGATTCTCTAAACGATATCATATTATTGTTATGTTCACACTGCTCATCGGGTTTCAACTGCAAAGGAACCCTCGGATTAATGAGAACAGGAGCGACTGATGCACAAAAAGTGGAGCATAATGTTTTAGTTTCTAGTGGACATCCTATATACACCCAGCACATCCATCGACGTCATATATCGTGTTGATGCAGCTGGAACCTATAATCGGAACATGTTCTTCGCTGATCCCGTTCGACTTGATGAGAAAAGAGGCAAAGACGTAACGCCGTAACAGGAAAGGCTTCAGGGCAAGAGAAGAGACGGTAGACGCAGACGCGCCAGAGCCCAGCCCAAGCGATGCCCAGACAAGGAAAAGCAGAGAGAACTTGGCCGATCGACCCAGGCGATTGTGCAGTTCAAGGCTTCCAGCTCTTCCTCCGGGTACCGTTCTGACGTCGCCCGTAACAGGCGGCAGTGTGACAACGCGGTTCACTCATTGAAAGTTGGTTCGCCATTATGTAATGATCGGTAACAGAAGTATCCGTTGGACATGATCTAAGAACCAGGAATCGAAAGTGGAATGTCAATAAGCGATCTCTCCACTCTGATACTTATAATAAAACCTCCGTACAACCCAAACCCCAAAAAGAAACATACCCAACCCCCGTCCACACTCCTCTCAACCCTATGCGGCGGATACTCCTCCACCTGCACACCCCCAGCAGGTGTCAACCGCCAACGCAAGCCGGAGAGTCGCAGCGCGGGGTTGACGTAGAACCCGTCTGCGCGGAACTGGACGCGGGCTGTGCGCCGCGCGGAGGCGTCGGAGTCGGAGTCGTCGTCGGACATGGGTTGCCATTGGGCGCCGCCTTCTGTGAACTGGTGGGGGAGATGGTTAGTTATCGGTTGGAAGAGAATGGGATGTAGGGGGAAATAGGAGTGCTCACCTCAAACACCCACTCCAAGTCCACCACCTCTTTGAGCGTCAGACTCGTCCGCTTCAGGTCCTTTTCCGCAACGATGTAGCTGCTCTTCCTACATGCGCAACAATGGGTCACTCTGATTGATGTGTGATGGTTGGATGTTTGAACAATACCCTCGCGACAAGGAGGTTGCACCGGATGGGTGAGAGAAGTATTGCGCCTCGGCGCAACGTAGTGCTCGCTTCGCTCGCAAAAGATCTGACGCTAGCTGGAGGCTCGCTAAGGAATGCAGTCAGGGGAGTATTGCGCCCTTTGGCGCATTGTGGCTCGCTTCCCTTCGCTCTCCCGAACCAAACCTTCACCATCCCTCGGCCTCGCCACGCTCGCGGCTCTTACCATTTCCCCGTCCACCTCCCTCTCGGACTCAACATCGGCCTCGTCTCCTCGACCAACCCCACAAGTTCCCTCTTCTCCACGGCCCCCCGCGGCAACGGCACCCCTCGCCGAGCAAGTATCTGTTTGAGTTCCGCAATAGTGAGCGATTTGAGTAGCGCGCCGGTGTAGTCGACGCGCGGGTGGAGGGTGAAGGGCAGGTGGCGGAGGGTCCTCCAGCGTTTTCGACTGTATGAACAAATTAGAGAACTTTGCTAAAGGGGAGCGAAAGGGTTGACAACCGTAAGCCATGTACATACCACAGCTCCTTCCACAATAAATCCGAGTTGGCAAGCGTGTTGAACAACCAAGACACTGCAGCCACCCGAGCCAGGTTGACAGCGTCGAGGCAGGAGAGGATCTTGAGCTGCAGCTCTGCGGGGAGGTGTGTGAATGTCATGCGTGTCATTGAAGCGTCGTTGCTTTTTGGCGGTGACGCTGAAAGTTGTCCCATTTTTTTTTTGGCTGGGAAGTTGAGCAACGAGATATGGGTGAACGGTGCCGAGAGTACCGTATTATTAGACTACCGATGGTTTTGTTGCTTGGCAGATGCGCCGAGTGTGCAGGAGCGGTGTTGTCAGTTAGGCGGACGGTCGAGAAAAGCCGCGGCGAGATCTCCCGCCCCCGGTTGACAGTTTCCACTCGCTCGCCCAGCGGTGACACACGCGCCCCCGCACAGCACAAAAGCAGCTTCAGCACTCCATTTGTGTATCTACGCACCAAATGTTCTTATTCTGAAAGGTCCCAAACAGAAAGGGTATGGTATCCCGTCCCAAATCAAAGAAATAAAAAGAGAAGAGGGAGATAAATAGCCGAAGCCATACTCAGACAGCAAAAGGGGAACGTTGTGATGGGGAGGAATCAGGGCGTGCGTCGTATAAGTGTGCGTGTATAAGGATAAAAGAAGAAGAAGAGAGAGAAGAGTAAAGGACTGGAAGTCCAAAGGTGTGTCTAGATAGTAACAGCGCCCTCCTCAGTGTTCGTAAAAATAATCTTGGATTTCTTGAACCCGTTGAACTCGCTCGCCGCACACATGGTATAAGCGCCCATATTGTCAAAGTTGAGCCAGTCGCCGACTTGCAGTTCGGGGAGGGAGAATTTCTTGCCGATGCAGTCGATCGAGTCGCAAGTCGGGCCCCAGATGCTGCAGGGGAACTCGCTCTCGCTGCCGGTGGTGGGCTGGTTGTAGAGGAACTGGTTGGCGCGAGCGAGGACGCGGGGAGTCACGATGGCGTGGTCGAAGGTGAGGCAGTTGAAGGAGGCGTACATGCCGTCGTTGACGTAGTACATGAAGTAGGGGTGGTCATCGCCGGATGCGTCGATCTCCTCGGCGGGGCCGGAGGGGGTGGACGACACGGCCGACTTCTGGCTCTCCGTGTCCGAGACGTCGCCTGTGTCGGCCACAATGTGCGTGGTGGTGACGGCGATGGGGCCCACGACGGAGGGGCGACGGTCGCGGGAAGCGACACGACGAGCGATGACGTTCACCGCGAGGGTGAAGGCCGAGGAGACGTAGTAGCGGCCAGGCTCGGCGATGACGCGGATCTCGGGGCCAAAGTAGCGGTCGATGGCCGGGCCGAGGATGGCCGCAATCTGGTGGAAGTTGACTCCCTCGGCGTTGTTGCCGGGGAAACCGCCACCGACATCGAGAAGGCTGAACTCGTAACCGTGGTTCTTGCCCTCGTCGAACGCCCTGCGAGCCAAGGCGACAGCGTCACCAAAGGCCTGAGCGTCGAAGCAGCCGCTACCGACGTGGAACGAGATGCCAATGACATCCATGTCGAGCTCGCGAGCCGTCTTCAAGAGGTGGGGAACGGCAGCCTGAGACGCGCCGAACTTGGTGCCTAGCTTGCAGATGGATCGAGAATCGTCCGTCAAGATACGGAGGACCATCTGAGCGGTGGGGTGGATAAGCTTGATCTTGCGGAGCTCGTCGGCATTGTCAAAGGTCATCATGCGGACCCCGGCGTTCAGGGCGAAACGAATGTGGGACACCTGCTTGCATGGGTTTGCGTAGATGATCTTGGAAGGATCGACTCCTTGGTCCAAGGCCATCTGGATCTCGCCCTTGCTGGCGCAGTCAAAGCCGGTGCCGAGGTTGGCGAGAGTGTTCAAGATGGTTTCGTTGGGGTTGCATTTGACAGCTGTGAGAGGGAAATGCGATGAGACGTGAGAAACGAGGCCGGATGTGACAAACGAACGTTCCGACCACACAACATACCGTAGAAAGGCTCCACGCGAGGAAGAAGGCGGTTCCACTGATCATGCTGGCGCTTGATCTCTCCCATGTCACCTACAAAGAAAGCATCTTCCGCGGTATCGTCCTCAGGATCATAATCAATGACACGGCTTTCGAGGATAGTCTTAACAGACAAGTCGTGAATGTACGGTGACGTAGCCTTCTTCTTCAAGGACTCGGCAGCGACAGTAGTTGCCGCGAGGCTTCCCTTCGTCGCGACATTGGACGAAGTGGAGAGCTTCTTCGCGAGGGTGTCTTTATTGTGACTCTGACCAAGGATATCGGTAGTTGAGCGGATAAAAGGGGCGATGACTTCCTTCATCGGACCGAGGTGCAGGTGGGCTGCTTAAGAGAGGGAGGCGTGGGGGGTGTGCTTTGTGCGGGGTGGCGCGAAGCCGATGGGAGAGTGGGCGATGGGGCGAAAGCTCAAATAGAGGGTTTCAGGGGCCGGCGTCGGGACCTGGCCAAGGGGGTTCTGTCGAATGGGAATAAGAGGAAGGCCGGTGGTCAGATTCGTGCGAATGACGTAAAGTGGACCCGGCTGTGGCCAGAAGGGGTATGCATGTGTCCCGCCCTTTGATGCTGCCAAGACCGTCCCATTTCGAATCGATCCCATGTAACTCCGGCCCAATGAAGCCCCTTTTCGCCAAGCGATCGCTGTCCCATCGATCCAACTCCTCCCTCTTTCGTCGCCGGTCAGGTCCTCCCTTGTACATCGCCCCGGTTCATACATCTAGAGAAACGTACCAGGTAGGAACCCCGGAAGTAAAAGCAACTGAAATCTACGTGTTGGGAACGACGTTTTCGAGCGTTTGCACTTGGGGGGAGTTGTTAACCACCCTCAGTGCAAGTAATATAGTCTTCGGAGTTAACCGGGAAAAGGAATAACCGAGCCGAAAAGAAGTGTCAACAAAAGATAGCGACGGACGGGGTTTGGCGTCTGTCAGAAGCGGGGGATGTATCAGGGAAATGGGGGTTGTTCCGATGGACGATGACACTAAGATGTCGGACTGGGGCGAAAAAAAAACGAGGTGTGGCGCAGTTGGGGGGTATGCAAGGGTTAACGACGGGAGTGTTTTGACGAAGCTGAGAGCGACGACGATATTGCGTTGGGGTATGTGGGTTCTGAGAGCGTTTGTTGTGGGCGAGGGGGTTGGGGGGGGGTTGCGTTGAGCAGGGGGTGCTTTTATAAAGGGTTTGGGGGTTGGGGGGGGGGGGGGGGGCGGTGCTAAGAAAAAACACGGTCTTCTTGTCGTGCGCGCAATTACTATTCGCTCCCCTCGCTCCAATTCGACAGCGCCTTATTCAGGACATGGTTTCCCCCCCCCCCCCCCCCCCAGGGAGAAGAAAAATATGGCATCATTCCATCGCTCCCATCCGATCCCGCAGGCTCCAGCAATCCCGCATTCTCGTCTCTCCCGTTCGCCATGCCCGCTGTCGGTAACATCAGATCACTACAACTGGCAACTGGGGTTGGCCCCCATCTGATTTCATCGCCTGCGCAAATGTCTTCTGGAACTTGGGATTTGCCCGAGCGGCTTCCAGATTCTTGTCCTCCATGGGCAGTGTCAATTTTTGTCCTGCACCACATGGACCACCGATCGAATTGCACCCTCCGGCCATGGTTACTATGAACAGCACATGCAAGACACCTCGTGGGGAATGCAGCATAGGGCACCGACCGGGGGAAGAGAAACCGCCAAGCTGCACCTGTTGCCACGATTGGTAAGCGTTTGAAGGAGCGTCTTGGCTCCTGGTATTGTTCTGACGGGTGTGGATATCCCGCTGTCGCTATTTTTGGAAAGTCCAAACCAAATCGAAGCCGCTTGGCGTTCCCATGTCCCGGGAGATATAGCGGCTACTCCCATACGTGATCTGAAGACACTGCACATAGCGGACCGCTTCATTCTCATCGCAAGCGAAAGGTCGACAGTTGTCGATGGACGACAGGAAAAACTTTCCATGTCCACATCGTGTTGTGGCCGTCCGTCCCCAAATGCATGAGCAAATAACGACCAACGCCCTCTGAACGGAAAAAGAGCGCGTCCTTCATCGATTTTTTCAGAATGGGGTGGCTTCAACCCATGGCTGACTGAAACTGACAGCAGCCGCCCTTTCAAGGCGACTGACTGTCGATGGGGGTCCGCTCCACACAACCTTTGAGCGTTTGATGAGGACAGGGTTCGCATCTTTCTGTCTTTGGACCCTTCTAGAAAAAAAAGTCATCACCGATTCCGCGGCCAAATGTGACTGACGGTTTATGAATTTGCTTGGCGGGCGGCCCCACACCCGCAGAGATGTCTATTTTTTCACGACCGATTTCACATCTCTACTCTATGTATGCCTCGGAGACGCGCCGCACTTACGAACGCCAGCCTGCATCAAATCACCCACAGGAACCCCCCCGCACTCGCCTTGGCAAGCCCAAAAAAGCCCCCCATCCCTTCCGTTATTCTCGGAGCATTCCACGCGAACATCCGCCAAGCCAAAAGCCCAAAACCGAACATACAAAAAAAGGTCGCGGCGGCCCCCACCCCTGATGAATGATGCACTCCACCGAAAAAGCCTCACAGACAAGGGCATCCCTCGCTGTCCGCAAACAGCCCGGTGCGGAATGATGATGTCACGGGTGTTTTGTGCCCCACCTCCGTCGCCGTGGCAACCACAAACGCGTCGGTTTTCAGCACACGCGTTTTTCTCACATCTCGCATTTGCATGTCTCGCTCGGGGACACAGCGCCATGAACATGCCCAGGGACTTGGACGCTATACTCTACATACATACATATATCTGTACGTATGCTGTCCTGTGGTACAACCCCGACGTTCAACTTCCCTCGGCAGGGTGGGGAATATCATCCTATTTCCTTCCCATCTCCTTTGATTACTACGTAGACGGTATGCCTCTAGATGATCTGAATGATCTCTTCGCTGGTAGAGATGGCACCCCCTGGAAAAAAGGCCCAAAATGCAAAAGTGCACGGGTGTTTCACCTGTAGCGTTGGTTTCTCGCACGCTGCCATTACGGTAAGGTATATAACTTAGCAAGTCCCATCTATCCATTTGGGTGTCGTATATATATATGTAATACTGTTGGTTTGTGTCCATCGGATGCGTCAGGATGCAGGAAACCTGGATCTGTTTGATGCATCGTGCGTACACTCGAAGCGAAAGTATTGTCGGGTTTGGAGACTCTGTGAGAAAAGATCCGGGCGTGAAAGAGGATGGGTGAGCCGACGCACTGCCCCATTAATCGCGAGAGGTCGATGTGCTCGCTGAATTTGAAATAACCGCACGGCTCGGCCGGATGGAGAATAAAAGATCGGGGAACGGTACATCGGGGTGGGATCACCCCCTTTCATTCACTCGTCCTTCCTCTGCGCGAGAAGAGAACAACTCCGCACATCCCAATCCCATTCATGCGCACGTTTTTGCGTTTGTGTGGTCACGGTAAGATTACGGAAAAAGAAAGAGTACGGGACATATGGCGAAGAAACAACGTAAGACACGGGAAAAGGGGGAGAGATATCTGATAGACCATAGAGAGTAAATCGAATTTTAGCGACGGAATCCTCTGACATGCAAGTGCTACATGTCGTTAGCCAGAGATTGCGGCGGAGAGGAGAGGTTGAACGAGGGCCTAATCACTAGTGGACGACTGGACACTGGAAGAATGATTGCGGGAGTGAGCCTTTGGTTCATTTTAGGGCCAGCGCCTGAAAATCGACAAAAGATAATTATACCTTATTTCGCTTCCTCTGGCTCTTCTGCCTTCACCTCTTCTCCCTTGTTTTCCTCGGCTGTAATGATTGAAGACGTAGGGTTAGTACAATAGTCTCATCAACCCAACGCTCTCCATCAAACTGCACACGTACCATCTTGCAGATCCGACGTCCACAAGGTCAAGTTGTCCCGTAGCAGCTGCATAATCAGAGTCGAGTCCTTGTAAGACTCTTCGCTGAGGGTGTCCAACTCGGCAATGGCATCGTCGAACGCTTGCTTGGCCAGATGGCAAGCACGGTCAGGGGAGTTCAAAATCTCGTAGTAGAAGACAGAGAAGTTGAGTGCGAGTCCGAGGCGAATGGGGTGGGTGGGCGCTAATTCCGTTTGTGCAATGTCGGTCGCGGCCTTGTAGGCATCGTGGGCGTGGGACGCAGCCTCCTTCCTCTTCTCGCCTTGGGCAAACTCAGCAAGGTAACGGTGGTAGTCTCCCTTCCTGTAGAATCAATGAATGTTAGTAATATGTCCCTCGTCCTTTGCCGAACATTTCCCCAGCGCTCACATACATTTTGTAGTAAAAGACCTTGGATTCACCAGCCTCAGCCGCAGGTATCAAGTGCTCGTCAAGGACAGCGAGGATGTCGGAGCACACGTCGCTGAGCTCTCCCTCAATCTTGATGCGGTAGTCCTTGATCTTCTTGACCTGACCCTCGTTGCCTTTACTCTCCTCCTTTTGCTCAATGGAGGAAACAATTCTCCATGACGCACGGCGAGCTCCGATGACGTTCTTGTACGCAACTGAAAGCAAGTTTCGCTCTTCGACCGTCAACTCAACGCGAAGCTGTGATCGAAGAAGGTGGGCAATTGTTTAGCACTTGTGCAACCGCCAAAAAAATTCTCGTAGCACCACAAATACCTTGGCGATTTCCTGGAGTGTTTCGGAGAGACAATTGAAGCAAAGAAAGGTTAGGATAAGTGCTATAATCTCAAAGCTACCGGGGATGCTGCAAGCTTGTGGGAACAGATATCAAACGTGCTTGCCTTCATAAACGAAACCATCTCTGCAAAATAGAGATGCGACCGTTAGTGGCGAGGAAACGGAAGTGAAGCTCCTCCCATACCCCGGCCCAGCTGAGTAACGAAATAGTAATAAAGTATCCTCGCGGCCCAGGCATGCGGTTGGACATCCTTTCCGCTTGAATCCGGCAATCCAGAAAGACGATCAAACTCACCATCATATCGCTCAGCTTGCTCAGCAAGCTTGGCCATGTAGACCTGGTCCTCTCGTGCTAATATAGCGGAACACATTGGAGAAGAGGAAATAGAAGTAAGTCCGAGTACATGGGTGCAGCTGTTGCAAGATTTCGGAGCAAATATCCGTGGGAAGATGCGGCTTTATCTCTATGCACGCGTCACTTGATTCCACTTTTTCCCAGGCCAGTCCTCGCCGGTTGAGCGTACCTCTTTCGGCCATTGTTAGCGGTTGTGGGGGCGAGGGGTTGTTGGGAAGAAGCGAGTGGTCGAGGACGCTGTGTGTATAGCGGCAAGTAATTAGCTGTCGTGGGGCGAGGGGGGATGTGGCAGCGAGGGAAGATTCCGGCGTTGTGGTGGGTTTTGGTTGCCCTTATCTCCGTTGGGAGTGGTCAGGGTGGTCTTCGTGTGGGAATTGCGCCTGGGGCGTTTCCTCTTCTTTCAAGCCGGTTTTAATCAACGCACACGTGACGCTGCGTTCCGGCCAAACGCAGTTCCCCCACACTCTTGGCTCTCGTGGCTTTCAGGTGAAGCTTCCATTCGCACCATCTTCACGAAAGCCTTCAGGTTGGCATCCTGCCAGGTTCGCCGAGCACCTCCGATGCAGATATCGGAGGCTTCAAACTGAAAAGAAGAATAAATGGAGACGAGATGGCCGATTTCGTCCATGCCCTTCGTCCGTGATGGCAAGAGTGACGCATACGACACCTCTATGCACCCATATGCACGCTGCACGATACAGGGAGGTCCGGAACAAAAGACACCCGCTGGCATTGGGCCGTAGAGTACATCCGCTTCTGACAGGCATGGAACTGCCTTTGCGGTAGCTGCTGATTTATCATTCCACCGAATGAAAGCGTTCCGCACGCGTCCGGGCTTTCGGCGTTGCAGACCTACGTACTATACTTTGGGGTTGAATCTATTGATGTTTCTATGTGCGTTTGCAGGCAGGGTTGCGGGGTGCAGGTGGATCCCCAAGTAATAGCGAGTGACTGGGGAAGGAACAGTGCTGAATGGTGAAGCCCCTGCTGGTTGTTTGCAACATGTGGCAATCACGCAAGGAACTGTGCAAAAACGGCGCGCCCGTTCTTTTCCGAGCTCAGCAACGCATCGATCCGTATCATACTCGACCCGGTACTTCCCGCGCTGCGTGGAGCCGGGCAAGTGAGTGCCCGACAGTCCAACGCACACAACACTCCAACGCACTTTTCTAAGACCAACAAAGCTATATGCTATCTACTATGAGCACAACCCCTATCACCTATTGCATGAGGTCCTCCTGCTTAAAGACCTCCTGGCAGAATATCAACTTTCAGAATATCAACAAGAGTGTGGGGTCACGTAAGGGCGTGGTTATGACATTCTGTCGAATTACTGCCAGGGTTGCACGGCTAACCTTTTTGAGCAGCTGCGGGTGGTCTGTCTACACCTGCGACACCATGACGGAGTGGTTAACGTGTCAGTCTTGAATATCGAAAACTGATGTGCTATGCACGCGCAGGTTCGAATCCTGCTGGTGTCGTTTTGTCCGTAGTTGGTGTGAAGCTTCCTTTTGCTGCCACTTGCGCCATTTTCCGAGCTCGGCAACGCATCGATCCATTTTGCATAACTTCCTTCGCAAACTCATCCCGTTTCAATTCCACCCAAACCCACCTCCCAACACATCCTCGATATGCTCGCCTCCCGTGTGTTCGCTCGTGGCTTCGCAAGCTCTGCTTTCCAGGTATGTCGACCGTGCCATATGCAGACCCGTCGTCCATCGGTCGTCATCTTGCTTCCCGAGGGCATTTCCGACGACTGGGAAAATCCCGTGCTGATACCATGTCCGTTGCTGATCATTACTTTGCTTTCTACAACAGCGTGGTGCCAAGGTCGCCGTTCTCGGTGCCGCTGGTGGTATCGGCCAGCCCCTCTCCCTGCTGTTGAAGCTCAACCCCAATGTTGACCGTCTGGCCCTGTACGATATCGTCAACACCCCCGGTGTCGCCGCCGACATCTCCCACATCAACACAAAGTCTCACGTCACCGGCCACGTCGGCCAGGAGCAGCTCGGTGAGGCGTTGAAGGATGCTCAGGTCATCGTCATCCCCGCCGGTGTGCCCCGTAAGCCCGGAATGACCCGTGACGATCTCTTCAACACCAATGCTGGTATCGTCAAGACCCTTGCCGAGGCCGCCGCTAAGCACGCCCCCAAGGCCCACCTTCTGATCATTGCCAACCCCGTGAACTCCACCGTCCCCATCGTCGCCGAGGTCTTCAAGAAGCACGGCGTCTTTGACCCCAAGCGCCTGTTTGGTGTCACCACCTTGGACGTTGTCCGTGCCTCCACCTTCGTCGGACAAACAAAGAAGACGGAGCCCGAGAACATCAACGTCCACGTCATTGGCGGTCACTCTGGAGTCACCATCATGCCCCTTCTGTCCCAAACCGGCATCAAGTTCTCGCAAGAGGAGATTGACGCCCTCACCAACCGCATTCAGTTCGGTGGTGACGAGGTTGTCAAGGCCAAGAACGGAACTGGTAGGTTTCAACCATCACTGGGAATTACTTTTCGTGCAGTCTACTCACATTCAATCCTTTCAGGATCCGCCACCCTTTCCATGGCCCAAGCCGGTGCCCGCTTCACCGACTCCCTCCTCCGCGCTCTCAGCGGCGAGAAGGGCATCGTCGAGCCCACCTATGTCAAGAGCCACGTCGCCGAAAAGGACGGCGTCGAGTACTTTGCCACCAAGGTTGAGCTCGGCACCGAGGGTGTCAAGAAGATCCACGACATTGGGCCCATCAACGACTACGAGAAGAAGCTCTACCAGGCCGCTATCCCGGAGCTCAAGAAGAACATTGCTAAGGGTGTCGAGTTTGTCAAGAAGAACTAAGAATGGGGAAAACATATCTTCCATTTTTAGCATCAGCTCTTCCTAACTACCCCGATGACCATCCCAAACAGTAATAATTTGTCGGAGAGATTCCACACATCCCACCGTCATACGAGTCCCGTCACTACTGCATCGTACATAGATTTTTGAATTAGCGTGCCCCCTACTTTCGTCTCTCCATTTTCATTCTTCAGTGAATGCATATCTATTGGGAACTCGACCATAAAACCGTAACTGTGAAGGAAGGAAGAATGGAATATTGAGCAGACATGTGCGCTGCGGTTCAAATCCAGCCATCGCGAACGCGTCCATAATTCCGACGCGTCGCTATGCAACTCGAATCTCGAGCCCCCAGTCTCAAAGGACACCTCCTCAACTTCCAGCTTCCAACCCTCACAAACCGAGAGACCGCTAACGTGCATGATTATACGTAGTCTTTCCCCAAAGCAGCAGGAACACAGGATTAAGAATCATTCCTACCTAAACCATCACTAAAAGAAAAGGGGCGCTATACCCTAAGCCTTCCGGCCATCGCAGCCGGAAGGGGATGTGGGGATGAGGTGGGAGCGAAATCTATCTAATCTGGCCCTCTCGTTTGTTGTGGGGGGGAAGGAGGGTTGAGGAGGGGAGCCCGGGCATACCATAAATTACGTTTTGGCTTGTTCTACTTCGCGGGGGCGGGGGTGGCGGCGGCGGCGGTCTTCTTCTGTTTGAATTGGAGGAAAAATGTGAGAGTCAGTAGATGATAGATGAAGGGAATGGCGGATTCACTATGGAAGCATAACTGACCTTATTCTTCTTCTTGTTAGCCTTGCTCTTGTTGGTTCTAACAGCCTGCTTCAACAGCTCCTTAATCTCCTCGCTCTTGATCTGCTTGTCGCTCTTCACCAGCTCCTGGTCCCACGGGAAGCTCGTAATCTTCAACGGTCCCGTGGGCAAAAGCAGGACCGTGTACATAAAGTGTGCAACGACCGCGTCCTCCTTCTCATACAACACCTGGTACGGCACGACGAGGTTATGGTTCGCGCACTCGACGATGCCCATCCTTGCCTTCTTCTCGTCCTCAAAGTGGCGCAGGGAGAAGGCCATGGCGCCGCCGGAAAGCTTGGAGATCTTGCCGAGGACTTCGCGCGAGGTCTTCATTTTGAGCTGGTAGGTCACGTCCGGTTGGCGCTTGTAGACCGTTGTGCGGGTTTCGAGCGTGCGGGGTTTGCCTTCGCCGGAGGAGATGAGGATGTCGAGGGAGTAGACTTCGCCTTCTTCGAAGGTGGATTCTTCGATGTCCTTGCGTTGCGCTTCGGAGGGGTTGAGGACGATTTGCTTCTTACCGTCCAGGACGTTGCGTTGGAGTTGGTGGGAGAGCATGCCTGGAAAGGGTGAAGCGTTTAGCCACGCCTATCGACAATTAGCAGAAACCGCGACATCGTCCCCTCACCTTCAACAGGCTTGCACTCAAAGTCATCAGCAACCTTCTGCACCGCATTCGCAACCTCCGTAGTGGTCTTTCCAGGCCTCAACAGCCTGATAGCGGCCTCAGTGGCAAGGTAAGCAGCCTGCAGCACATCAGCCTGGCGTCCCTTGATGGGGTTCTCCTTGGCATCCGCGCCCAAGATAAGGGTGTGGGCGACTTGACCGACGTAACCGTCGACGTGGGCACCGAGCTCTATCCTGACCACGTCGCCCTTCTTGAGGGTCAAGGCGGCTTCGGGGTCGGAGGCGAGGGGGGACATGTGGCAGATGGCCGTGTTGGGGGAGACACACGTTGGGAATGCGATTCCTTTTTGAAATCACAGGGCAAACGTCAGAACCGTCTCTCAGAATGTAAGTGCGGTCGCATGTATGGGGACATGAACAATTTTGCATTGTTTCAACAGGTCCTTTCCCCAAACGTACCTTTCAGGATCTTTCCCTTGTTGTAAACCTTCTCAGCGAGCTCTTCGATCGTCTTGTCTCCAAGCGCACACAGGTCTGTGACCTTGGCACCATCCACAGCGGCGTCAATCACCTTCTTCAAGGCACCTAAGGAACGAAAGGAACATATGAGTCAAGGAACAGGTGTAGCGGGACGAGGTGAGTGGGGTGTATCACAGTCTGACGCCCTCTTCCGCCCGAAATTGGTCCGCACATAGATTTTCCACCGTAGCCGAATCCCTTTCCTTCCACCCGATTCCAAAACTCCGTCCACTTCCGAACTTCTGTTGCCACCCACGCACGCGCTCGTAGACGAAAAGCACACATCCTCCATCCATCCCCATCCCTCTTTGCATCTCGCCCAGAACCCCCATCTCCAATTCCATCCAGGTCCCTCCACCCAAAAGATTGAACACATACGGTTAGCAATATCAGCAGCAGTCTGATACTTCGTCACCACATTCGTCGTCAAATCATTCTCATCCTCCTCATCGTCGCTAGCGTCGCTCGCGGACGCCGGGTCCTCGGCGGGGACCTGCTCGGACACGGGGTCGTCCTTCTTTGTTGCGGGGGCCTTTGAGGGAGCCATTTTCGTGTTGCTTTTGAGATGGGGATGGGGGTTATGTGGAAGTGAGAAGCAGATGGGATTTGGAGTTGGGCGCCTTTCTGTGCCAAATGAGTGCGCGGAGGGGGGATGAAGCCACGCTTGCGCCACCCCTGCCACGCCGTGACTGACATTATTGAACGCATTGGCGAAGTTGTATTGACCTCAGTATGCTTGGAATGGGATCATGTATTGGTCGTCAATGAATGCGCTGCTACGCCGGTTTGATATGAGATATTCGCTTCTGCCTACTCAAACTATATGTGAAATTTACGCCAATGTTCGGCAAGACAAAGGCCAGAAAGAGAGTCCGTCGCCCACCCCAAACCTCACCCGCACCCTACTCAAAAACAACAACAAGAACCGTAATATCATCCCTCCATTCCCTCCTCTCCCTCCCCTCCAACGCCAACCGTCTCCCCGCCTCCTCATCATCAAACTTCCCACCTCCCAGCGCTTTCCGCGCCAAAATCCCCGCAAGGTTTTTGTTCTGCGAGTCTTCGGTGGCGAGGGTGGAGGAGACGGTGGACGCGATGTCTTCGCTGGAGAGGGAGTCGGTGATTCCGTCGGTGGAGATGACGAGGAAGCGTTGGCCGGGGTGTGGGAGGGGGGTTATGTCGGGGTGGGCTGTTATATCTATGATGAGATGAGATGGGGAAGATATATGCGTGAGTACTTGATGAATTGAAATGAAGGAGGGTACGGTGACAACTTACAAGGCGGCGTCTTACACAACGGCGCAATCCCCAACCGTTTTGCCGTAGGGAAAAACTCCAGAATCGGCTTCAACTTCTCCTGCCACTCCACACTCCACTTCGAATGCGCATCCCCGAACGATCTGCTCGGCATCAGGAGGCCAATCACGCGCAGGGGCGGTTGTTGCCCGTCGGCGGAGGGTTCTTCGCCTTTACGGAGACAGACGACTGTGTCTTCTTCACCAGGGTGTTCTTTGCGGAGACGCGCGGCTTCGGAGGGCGTCTCGGCTTGGTGGTCCATTGTGGAGTGGATTTGGCCGTCCGTGGACTGCGCGACGCAGCGGACGTCGCCGGCGTGGGCGAGGTGGATTGTTTTCGGGGTGATGTACGCCACGAGCCCGACGGCACCCGCGAAGGAGGGGAGGAGTTTCTTCATCATGGCTTCCCGCTCGGCGGCCGGGATGGCGGCGATGGATTCGCGGGTCTGGGAAGCGAAATTGGGGACCACGGTTAGAGGGAGGTTGATGAGGTCGGCGTCGAATGCATCGAATGCGTTTGTGAGGGCTTGGGAGATAGATGAGGAGGTGGATTTGAAGAAGGATTTGCTTTTTGCCAGGTGTTCTTTGATGTAGGTCGGTAGGGTGTTTTTAGCCTTCTCGGCGCAGACTTCGCCGATATGGCCGTCGATGACACCCAACAGGACACCACCGCCGGTTGCATCGTCCGTCTCTTCGATGAACCAGCGGTCCTCACACGGCTCGTTGCTCCCCACAACGCAGACATCGATCCGCTTAATCTTCAAATCCTTCCTCTTCAGAGCGATCGTCTGCTGGCTTTGGCTGAGAAGCGCGTCGATTTGGGCAGGCGTGAGAGCCGGGGCTGGCGCCTTCTCAGAGGGCTTAGTCGCGTCATCCTGAGACTTTTCGACAATTAAAGGAGAGTCGCGTGCGGTTAAGAGGTAGTAACCACCAGCGCCGGCTGCACCGGCAGCTGCGAGGGCCGCAAAGGCTGGGAATGACGATGGCTTTCTCGGCGTAGGGTTGGTGTTTGGGGTAGAGTACGATCTTGCGGCGACGTTTCGGGGAGCGCTGCTTCTCAACGGGGATACTCGGGCCAGACCGCGGGCGGCGAGGGATGCGTGGGCGCAACGGATGGATTGTAGGAAGCTCATCTTGGGTTGGAAGCTTTACTGGCGGTTCGTTCTCTGACGCGGTGCATGGGACCAAAAGGCGAGGATGTGGTGCCCGTTTATAAAGCCCGAACCGGCAACCTATTTTTTTCTCTTCTCCCCTCTTGGCACGGCGATGCCTACGTGCATACAGTTCGTAGCCAAGAGTGCCGTGACAAGGGAGAAGTCGAGAGACTCTCGAGAGAAAGAGATAAGAGCGAGCGACGCGAAGAACGGGCCCGATGACAACCCCCAAATTAAGGTGGGCTGCTTGGGCTGCGCTTTCATCTGGGCATTTCCCACTCGCCCATTCGTTCAGCTGCTTATTACTCGCACTTTTTTTCTTTTCTCTCGTCGCTTATCTTGCCTTCGAGTCTCGCCTCCTCCGCAGGGCTATGTACGGCAGCGGATCACAACGCACACTTTTTGCAGACTCGGGCTCTCTTTCAACTTTTTTCTTGAGGAGATAAGAGTTCGGTTCTTGATTCTACGGACTTGGCACAGGTCGGAGTTGAACGGAACTAGAGCTGCATGGGAGCAAAGGCTTGTGATGTACGAAGTCGACGCCGACACTCCTTTCATAGATGCGTGACGGGGAAAAAGGTGGCATTGGAGATAGCTGGACGTACACTGTATTGCAAATTCAAGCGCACGAATAGGCGGTTGCACTAGACCCCTACTCCCCCCGAAGATTCACCTGCTCCATGAACGTCATCAATGCTCAACTCGATCTTTCCAGCTGCTTTCTGCAACTTCCTCTTCTCTCACTCCCGCATCTTGCCCGCCTCCCACACTCAGTTGGTAGGTGCTTTGGGGCCTTTCAGGGGCGTGCGGGACCATGACGACTTTGAAAACGAATCAGTTGTGGGTCCCTCAATGCAGACGACACCGCAGCGCTTATGACTCTGTGAGGCCTTTCGACACCCGGGATGATGTGATTCTCAGGGAGGAGGCCAAGAGTAATACACAGTTTCCCCCAGTCAATTTCTCGTAATGATGTCTGGGCCTAAACCAAAGATCAAGACGTAGATACTTATCAAAGATCCGCTCGACCTCGGCCGTATCGAGGAACCTCTCCTCCAACGCATAATCGTCGGCAGCCGATGGTACCTGCACATAGAGGGCGACGGGCTGATTTGGGAGTTCATATCAGAACCCCGTTGCCCACCCCGATTGGACACCGGCCCACCAACCTTCTTCATGTCCCCCTTCTCCTTCTCCCTCTCCTCTGCAGCAAACCACATCACACCCCTAAAAGTGCTCACTTCTCAAGCTTGACCGGACTCGGCTACGTCTTTCGTGGGTAGCAGAGGCCGGTCAAGTGTGGGGATTTGGGCGGTGACCCGGCTGAAGTGCTATCCATTTCCCATCCAGGCAAATGAGAAAACAAACGCCCATACAGCTGGCTGAACTCGGCTGGTGTAAAGAGGCAGACTGCGATTTGCTTGTTGGTGAACACGACTACGATGCGGTCGAATTCAGCTTCGACCGTTAGGGTAGCTGTAGGGGCGGGAATGTGGAACACTTTCTTTTTTCCAATCACAACTATAAATATATCCTAAAATCTTGCACTCCACACACGACGCTCAACATCCCGCCGACCGTCGTGCCGAAACCATGCGCCCAGACCCGCACAAAGCGAAAGCAACAAAGCAATGGAAGGCAAAGCACGGGACTGCTGCCCTTTCCCCCAAACACGCCGCTTCTACAGCAAAACCACAGTCAAGTGATGATCACCACCGACGACCGGCTACGGAGCAGACTGGGCATGTGGGCGGTGGCCTGAATGGGACTCCACCACGGTCGGAAACAACTGATGGGGAGGCGGAGGTGGAGGCCCAGGAACACAAACGTGGGTTCTTCTCCGTCGCTCTTCTCAAAGGTCCCATCCGCCTCACAGACATGTTCTCAATCCCCGCAAAGCCAGATCAAAATACGCCCGCCGCCCACTCGCCAGCAACGCATACCGCTACCACGAACCGACCGAGGACGAGATCCGTGCCGCGGACGAGGGGATCGATCGGGCTACGGAGCATTTGCGCGCGTTGATTGGTGATGCTGGTACGGTAAAGTGGGAGAATGAAGTACGATTTACGAAGGGGAGCTGACTGGTGAGCGGGTGTGGTAGATGAGGAATATGATCCGGCTATGTACTTCCAGTTCCGCGACGAAAAAGGGTGGGCGCAAACTGGCGCGATGGAGGACGCTGCTACTGACGAGGTATGCTCATAACCCGCCTCCCTTCCGCATCATCGCTGGCTGGGTTGTCACTAACCTCTGAGATTCTGCACACCCAGTTGAACCGCACCCTCCTCCAACTCGACATCAGATCCCTCGCAGACTCGCTCGCTACCATACCCCTGCACACGAGACTGGACGTGGATGAGGCGGAGCTCGCGGGGCTGCTTTCGGTTCTGCCGAAAGGGGCGACTGGAGAGGGTGAATCGGGAAGAGTGCAATTGCGGAAGGGATTATCGAATACGGCGTTGGCGCCTCGGGTGGCGGAAATAGCGCCATCACCACCAGCGACCGAACCTCTCAAATCGCTGCACACCACCACGGCGGAACGGAGTCCGGCCGCCGTGACACCACCGCTATCTACACCCGACTCGCACACATTCAAATCCCACCCTCCATCGAAATCATCAGCCGCACATCGTCCCGCCGTCCCATCAGCGCCAATTTTACCAATCAAAACTAGACCAGTTCCTATAGGTATCAATCCGTTTCCGCCCGAAATTTTATCATCACCTTGAGCACTAACCACCTTCCCATCCCAGCAGCCACACCCACTGACCCGCTAGACATAGACAATCTGCTCGACCTCGACATACCTGCCGCACGACCGGCACCACCATTAGCATCATCGTCATCACAATTCACCTCGATGGCCAGAAACACGGACACACAGGCGACAACGCGGACAGGATCGACGACGAAAACGAGTGAGGCGGAGGATTTGAAGTGGTTGGATGAGTTGTTGGGTTGATGGGGAAGGAAGCAAGGGTTAAGGGGGTGGGAGGCGGCGGTATTTGGCCTGTATCTATGCATTATGTGGCGCCTAAACGAATATACATCCCTGGCAACTGTGTTCTGACTGCGTTGCCACTGCACTCGACCGCGGAGGAGATTGGTCCGCCTATGGTGTTGGGTAAATTGAAATAGTCAAGCCGGCAGCAGCGTGAATGGGGGGATATATGCTAGAGGGAGGGAAATGGCGAGGCTGCTGAGTAGTCTACCACTCGCGCCACACCCTTAATGTGGAGTTTGTCGTCTTGTCTCAGGACAGTCAGGTATTTCTACGAATGCACAAGAAGCCAAGGGCCGTTAGAGCAGCCGTGACGACGAAAATACAGTCCTTCACTGACAGTACTGTCATTGCTGTCAAGAGGCATCTCCACTTTTATGTTCTTTCTTTGTCGGATCTCCTGGCTTGATAACGTTCTTGGCATCCGTTCTGCTCTCCACACCCCACTTTGGAAGGGTCTCTGTGAAGACTGTCATCATTGCTGCATCACGCAGTTCCGGTGTTGGTTGACGTCAACGTACGGCCGCGGGAGAACGAAGGACAACTCGGTATGATACGGGTTTCCCGTGATAAAGCCCTTGTTCCCACGTTCCATGGGCCCAGGACTGCTCAGGGCATTTTGCGCGGCCGTCGGAACCTAATAAGTAATTTGGCATCCTACTGCATCTTGACGGCCTGAAACTCATCTGAGGCAGTCTGAGGCCGATGCCCAGAGCCACAACCAGCTGGCCCTTTCGTCTGCTGTCAACCACACCCTCCTTCAGCCCGCCATATTCCACACTTGAGGCCTTGCCCGTCGAGGTCGTAGCCTGTCTCCGAACCCAAGTCAACCTCATGTCATGCGCACGGCTCAGCCAGGCCTCCAAGCATCTCTACGCCTGCCTCCAACACTCACCAGCTTTTCGCTTGGTCTCAACCTTCCGTCATGCGCTCGCCAGACGCTTTCCTTCCACCCTCAGTTCTGAACCAGAGAAAGTGCTGAGCGATCTTGCTGCGCTTCGCGCGCGGCTGTACGGCTCGATGTGGTCTGCTAGCTTGCCGGTCGGGTTTAGGGCCGTTTACAACGGGGTCGGGGTACCGGCCGCAATGCACGGAGAGGTGGACCTCGTTTTTGAGTGGGAGAGGCCTGGCCTTCCCCTATTGTATGTTGGGTGTCGCTACGCCCAAATAGAGGTTCTAGGGATGGACGATGGCTTGATGTTAGGCTGTGTATGGTTGGACGATGACAAGCCCGAAAACCGCCCCGTCGAGATCTCTTCCGGGTTCCAAGAGGACACTGAAAGCCAGCATTTCGCCGAGAGCGTTTTCGACGAGAAGACCAAGGCTCGATTTGGTTTATCGGAGCAGGAAGCGTGGAGTTGGAGTAAGCAACTTTTTGAGGGATGGGAAGGGTTCTCTGAGTTGGAGGAATGGAGGCTCATGCTGGAGGAATGGCGAGCCGAGGACCCCGAAGATGATGACGAACACACGGTCGTGGAGTACATTCCCGATCCTCGCCGGAAACATAGAGGAAGATCGGATTTTCTTCAAGCCTTTCTTATCCGACGCCTACCAAGTTGCCGTCCGTCAACTTCAAACGCCTCTCGGTGAACAGTCCTCCCTTGAGGAAAGCCATCCTGATGCACTTAATGGAAGTTATCATTCGAAAGCTCGAGCGAAAAAGCAAAGATAGACCGGAGCGGTGGGACTTCCCACGATGGCCTACTATTCGAGCTCCTACAGGTCGAAGCAGGATCAGATTGCAAACACAGCTAGCCCGTAAGATGTTTCCGAAGGATACAAACATAGATGAAGCCCTGGCAAATCGGCAAAGCGCGATCCCGGGTGCTCTCGAATGGGCTATGCAGTCTGTGCAGTTTCTCTATGCCAAGGTCCCTTATAGACCTACTTTCCACTCCGGGCACTACGGAGATTCGGGTTACGCACCTCTGAGCCTCTGAGCCTCCGACTTGGATTGCAACTTGTCGCGCGCGTTTCGGCCCTGGTCCCCCCTTTTTTTTTCCCGTCAGCCCGTGGGCATTATCGCACTCGTCGCTCACACTGTTGACCTGAGTACTGCATCCTCCTTCCGAAGCAAAGCCAAACTCCTGCGTGTGATAACAGCGAGAGAGCCATGGAGTCCCAGCTTTCAGAAGTACGTTTGTTGTCCTAATGTACTTATGCACCAACTCCTGTTGAACGCAAAAACTAACACTTCATTCGTCTCTCTCTCGCCTGACAGCTGTTCTCATTCCTCACTGACAAACGGGAAGATGTTTGTAGAACCCGCCGAACCTCCTCCAGAAAAGGCGTATTAGTGTCTAATGGGCTGCTTGGGTTTCTTTCCGGTAACAGGTCCGCCAACTAGCAGCCAAAAACGTTGCCGGTCTCACGACGACGGCGGAGTTTCTGCCGTTCTTCAAGGTGAATGGGTGCAAACCCGTGAAGGACCTGATGAGATTGGTCAAGGGAGAGTCGGTATGTATATGTTCGGGCATCGAAGAGAAGGTGTAGGAAAGGAAACGAGTGACTGACTTACGCTTCCTGTTTCGGTATTAGATCGCAGCCCACGATGCCCTGAGCTCACTGATAAATCTGTGTGTTGACCCTGTGTTTGTGGAAGTGATGGATAACGAGGATTTCTTGTTTGATCTTATCCTCATGATTGTGGTATGTTGCTGGGAGGCACTACATCCGAAAAGCGCAGATGTTGATGGAATACCTCTATGCAGCTCCCACGAAACGTCGTAGCAGATCTGTGCTGCATGCTTCTTAACAACCTCTCCGAAAACAACTCGGTCGCCCGCAAACTGGTCGCGGACATCTCCCGCAGCGCCTCCGAAACGAACAACATGCCACTTAACGCCCCCACCATCCCCACACCCACCGGACAACCCACCACCACCCCTCAATCCCAACAACCGGCCACAAAACTCAAGACCCACTACCTCGACAACCTCCTCGAAGTCTTCGTCCGCGGCGAAGGCAAGACCTACAACCCCAACGCCACCTACGACTTCCTCGGCGGGGTCCTGGCCAACGTCGCCATGACGCCCGCCGGCGCACAATGGTTCCGCGGGCGCACGGGCGTCGACGGGACACTGAGACTGAGTAAAGTCGTGGCGTTTGTGGAGCATCCGAATCGGATACGACGGGCGGCGGCGATTGCGACGATCAAGAACACCGCGTTTGACCCGGCGGGGCATGAGTTGTTGTTGACGGATGGGGAGTTGGATTTGTTGCCGTATTTATTGTTGCCGATTTGTGGGCCTGAGGAGTTTTCGGATGAGGTTCGTGCTTGCGCCTTCCCCTTCTCTACATATCGATGCTGGATTCTCACCCTATCCTCTCTCCGCCCGTAGGACATGGAGGGCATGCCCGACGACCTTCAACTTCTCCCCTCCACAAAGACCCGCGAACCCGACCCAAAACTCCGCACCGCCCTAGTCGAAACTCTCCTCCTCCTCACCCAAACCCGCAAAGGCCGCGACATCCTCCGCGCCAAAAAAGTCTACCCCGTCATCCGCAACCTCCACGCCGCTGAGCAGGACGATGGTGTGCAGGATGTTGTGGAACGGTTGGTGCAGATGATTATGCGGGATGAGGAGGGGGAGGATGTGAGGGACGTGCAGATGCCGGTGCCCGAGGCGAAGCGGATAAAGCTGGATGGGGAGGCGGAGACGCAGGCGAAGGATAGGAAGGAGTTTGTGATCGAGGAGTTATCGGATGATGATGATGACGATATGGCGATTGAGGGGTTGGTTTGATTGCGTACTGTAGTGGAAGCGTCGCAAAGTTTGAGAATCTTTCAGGGCGTACGGCTGCAGGGTTAGACAGATTAGGTAGACACATTCTTTATTCATTCCCACGATTTTGCATACTATCATTTTTCCATTGGCGACTACAAGATAGCCTTTTCCGCTCTCTATCACGTATGTTATACATGCACATGTGGACAACTTGCGAAGTACGCAATCCAGGTCGGGAATGGGGATGTGAAGTCCGTGTGGGACGCTCGGCTGAAACAACGATAGTCCACCTCCCACTCCCAAGCCCTAACCTCGTCATCACCTACTCCTGGCCAGTTCAGCGCGCCCGCCCACCCATCTCCCCTCACTCCCGCCTACCGCATCCGGCCTACTCTCAATCCACCTCCTCAACTTGCCAAACTCCTCCTCAACCCGCCTCCACGCCTCCTCTCTCCTTTTCAAAAATTCATTCTTGACACGATCCGCTTCCATCGGGAAATAGTCCGCGACCGTCATTTTGGCTTCTGCGGAGGTGATGTGCAGGTCGGCGGGGTTGGAGGTGGATGTGAGGGGTTGGAGGAGAGGGATGGTGAGTTGGGGGACGAGACCGGGGCTGGGTGGGTTGGTGCGAGTGGTGGGAGCTGTTTTAAGGGTGGATGGGTGGGTCGCGACGATGTCGCGAGTGGGGGATGGGGCGGCGCCGTCGTTGACTTGGGACATCTGCGACGGTGAGTCTACGTTCAGTGCGTCCACATCCATCTCGTCCGACCGGCCTTCGTGGATCGCAGTGACTTCTTCGGCACGAGCCGCGCGACGTGCAGCAGGTCTTGCTCCAGCCGCCTTACTCCTCGTCGGTTTCGCAGTCTGTTGCGGTTGTTCCTCGTCGATTGCAACAGACACAGGAGGAGGCGACACGGCTGTCCTCGTCCTGCCAACCCGCGCCTTTGTCGTGCGGGGCGGCTCAACCTCCAGAGTCTCCGGCTCTTCCGTAACCTCCACAACATCCATTTTATCAGCCTTTTGCAATGCTTTGGCTTTGGCCGCCCGGTTCTGCGTCTTGCCAGTGTTCGATTTGTCCGTTGACCCATCGCTACGGGCGCTACCAGCGGATGAGGAACTTGCCAATCTATCATGGCGCATCGGGATCTCGACTGTGACAATGGTCCCCGATCTCCTACTAGGAGCTTCAAAGGCGCCTATGCTGCCCTGGCTCTGACTTTGACTCTGAATCGTCTCCACGGGCTCTTGCGATGCACTCGACGCATCCGTCCCCGCGACAACAGTCTTCGCCAGACGGGCTTTCTTGACTTTGGGCTTTCCGTCCAGGTCGACCGTGTCTTCTGCATAGCAGATGGCTTTGGCTCTTTCGCGTCGTGGCCGTGCTGGTCCTGCTGGCTCCGCGGCTCGTGCTATTGGCGGGTCTGGGTGGATGGTTTCCATTGCGGCTGATCTGCGCATGGGTGGGGCTCCGCCTATGTCATCTTCGTCGACTTGCATAGGGGTTGCTGTTTCGTCGGCTCTCTCTATAACTGCCTGATCATTGTTTTCTGCTTCTATTGCTGGCTCTGTCACTTCAGCTTCTACCACAGGGACGGCCTGAAACCGCTATGTTAATCAGCCGTCCCACTTTCAGCGAGAACAAAGCCCAGTCTTACCTCCACCGGCGCCCTGCGTTTCTTCTCAACAACTGGCACCTCCTCCGCATTTTTGGCAGACGCATGAGCTTCAACCCCTCGCTTTCGCTTCCCTCGCTCCGCCGCAGCCGACGGAGCCTGACTCTCGACTTCCGCCACCGGCTCCACTACCTTCTCCGGTGCCACCACCTTCTTGGATCTCGCCCGCGACGGGGGTTCGACCGTCGACTTGGCCGGCACAGCTTTCCCGATCAGCGCCCTCTTGAGGGGTCTGGCGACGCCTTTTTTAGGTGGCGCTGTGGACGCCTTGACTTCTTCTTTGGGCTTGGGCGGTTGAAAGAATTCGCAGTTGGGTTGTCGTTTCAGATGCTCTTTACTACGTGAAGAACTTTCTGTCAATTGTCACCTGCCGTAAGAAGCATTTCGAGAAGCAAGACTAACATTGGATCGTCTGTTGGGTCCCATCCATCTAACGAGAGTTGGCAGTATGGACACAGCACCGTGTCGGGGGCGTCGGTCACTGGATAGTAGATGAATCCTGCGGCGGCCATCTGGAGCGTTCATTTCGTTAGGTTTCCACGTTCAAGAACGCAACAGAATCTCGACCGCACACACCTTATCACTCGCAAGCGAGTCACATCCCTCCTGCCCTTTCAACGGCCACCCATGTGCAAAAGTATTCGCGCGCGCATCGGCGCACTGAGCGCTGTATTTATCACCCATCTCCAAAATCCGCCATACATCCGCCAGGAAGCATGTCTTGGCATGTCCTTCGAATGGATCGTCGTTGACTGCGAACGTCGTCCGTTTGGCGTTGCAGGCGCTGCATTGGCATGTTGTGGGGCCTTTGCTGAGGTACCAGCCTGATCTTGCGAGCTTTGGTCCATAAGTTTGCGGCGTTAGCATGGTGAAGTTGGGACACCTACTAGAGTGAGCCTAATTGTGCGTATGGGCCTGATAAGGAGACTACCTTGACGATATACTGTTTTTGCTCCTTCAGCCGCTTGAATGGCCAGGCGGGCCTGCCTTTCAGAAATGACTCGTGACGGGCGTCAAAGCACTCCATTTTCTCGAGTCTGTAACGGCGTTATGCCCAGAACAGATTCTTCCAAAGTCTCTCTATGCTTCTGAGCTGGTTTTATCCTTAAGTGGCAGCCTATTCTGAACGCACTCGATCTTCGAAGCGCCGTAGTATTTTGCGAGAGGTGGATGATCGCGCACGTGGGAGCGGCTGGCGGGTTAAGTTCTCCACAATAGGGAGTGCTAGAGGGGACTTGGCGGCGAAGAGGCGGGGTGCTATTATAAGTACTACCCACTACATTTGCAAGTGCGTTCACTAGCTGACCGTTTGTTTGCAAGAAGTGGGGCCTTGCTCACTGCCGGGGTCTCCGACTCTCAGCGCCAACAACCCAACTTCCCAGAGCAAGTCAGAGCAAGCCCGAATGGAAACGCGTTCGCAACGGTGGCTCCTCGATCTGGACATGGGACAGCTCGACTGCTGGGAGGTATATACATACAGTACATACCTTACAGCGTTGTATGGAGTAGGCGCTGGATGCGTACTGTACATTGTGTTGGTATATTGCGGAAAACGATTTAGTCTCGTGCACACCAGTGGGCCCAACAAGGTTTTCACAAGGATATCACACATCGCACTCGGCAGAGAAGACAAGGCAAAGGATGTAGCTTCTAGACAAGGCTGTTTGCCTGTGCAGCGATCAATGCACATGAACCAGCAGGCAAGTCATGCACTCAATCAATGCTATATCCAGCGGAGGTATGAAACCGGGACCACTGCGTACCAATCATACCTAAGCACGTCGTCGCGCTGAAAGCCCACACACCGAGAGCAGCGAGTCAACCGAGCTACTGAGGGTACATGTACACAGGCCCCACACCATGTATGGGCTCACATGTGCAGATCCCTTACCAAGCACATCAAGGCAATGGCTTCGCACGGGAGCTGGCTATGATCATTGATCAAAGCAACCTCCTCGGGCTCAGACGAGTGTCGCCGCAACCAACGCGTCCGCGGTTCACCCTTTCGTTTCTACAAGTTGCCTTCATCGGCGACGCCTCAGGCAGAGGTACAATGATGTGGATGGCAGATAACCACCACGGAAAATGGGATGGGGTGAAATCTAGACTACCGGTTACGGGAGAATGCGTCTGGTCTGCGGCCATTGCCAAACACCACCGAACGCACAATCGAGAGGAAATTCTTGGTGCTCAGGACGTCCCGATTGTGCACTCTCATCCGTAGTCGTAGTGGTCGTCTTCCAGGAATCTCAAATGGTGTCCAGTCTTGGTTGATACATTCGGGGTTGGGGCAACCCACCAATCCATGGACGTATTCCATTCTTCCCTTTCTAGCTTGCCATGGCCGAGATGACAGCCGCTGTCGGATGTTTTTCTTCACACGGCCGTGGCAGTCGGGGCACACGGACGACGTTCGATACTCATCCAGCAAGTAGCATGGAATGCCGTTTCTCGCAAAGAGTGTGCGGAATCTGTTCCATGATGAGTTAGCATAATAGAATACATAGTAGATACCACCAATCATGGTCACTCACCCCTTGGTCTTCGATGACTCCTGAAAGCGCATTGTTTACCAGCATCGCTCCAATCACCCAAGATGACCGAAAAATTCTTTCCATACCGGCGTCGCATGTTCTTAATGAGCTTGCTCTCAGACTTTTGCCGCAGTGAGAACGCCTTGAACCTGCGAGCGACGTGAATCTCAATCCTGGTAAAACTCATCCAGGGCGGGATCTGGGATATGGATGGATGTCAGCCCATGTATTACTAAATTTGAAGACAGCGCATAATACATCATACCTGCATGTATGTGATCCACGATGAAAGCTGAGAACGCCTCGATGTTCATGCTCTTGTGCGATGGAATATGTGATTCCATCTCAGCGATGCCGGCATTGATCTTTCGCTCGCTCATGTCTCTTTGAAAGTACCGAGACTTTGTCTTGACCGCCCGTTGATTGGATGTGTATCTGGTATGGGGTGGTGCATTCTGAGAACGCTGCAACAGAATGTTGCCGCAATGGGGATGGTGGGGATAGGGGCGGTGGGAGCGGCAGCGGAGACAGGGGGATGGTGGGCGGAGACGGGGGGATGGTGAACGGAGACGGGGGGCTGGCGGGCGGAGACGGGAGGCTGGCGGGCGGAGACGGGGGGCTGGCGGGCGGAGACGGGGGGATGGTGGGCGGAGACGGGGGGCTGGCGGGCGGAGACAGGGGGCTGGCGGGTGGAGACGGGGGGCTGGCGGGCGGAGACGGGGGGCTGGGGGGCGGAGACGGGGGGCTGGGGGCGGAGACGGGGGGGGGGGGGGGGTAGCGGGGACAGCAGGGCAGTAGTAATCAACTGAAACGTACCGAAATGGCCGCTCCTTCTTGATGTCTCGACAGAACAAGAGGTTACGCTTGCCCGGATCAATGCTGACGATGTTTGGAGCCTGCCGTAGTTCGGCGATGTGGTGCTCAAAATACAGCTGCTTGACTTCTTCCTGCATCTGGGCTTTGCTGCGCTTCCGGGCGCGATGGCCGTACTTGAGCCCTGGCTTCTTGAAGTGGATGGTAGCGGAATACCCGTTTGTGCTGATTGACCCATCAAATTTGAGACCAACCTTCTTTCGATGCTTGAAGACCTTGTCCTGCAATCCGTCATTCAGCGAGGTGAGGTGAGTGTAATAAGCGCAGAGGGATAGAGACTTACATTCACGTTAAGAAACTGCCCCCACAGCTCCCGCTTGCGTTGATCGGTGAGTTTCCCCATGCGATGGTGGCCCAAGGCCAGGATATGAGTGGTTAGGATCTTTGTGTCGATCCGAACAGATGACTGTATTCGAGATTTGCGCAGCGGGATAGCGGAAAACAGCCACATTCCACGGTGCTCATAGAGGCGTGAGAGCTCACAATAGGCACCTGTGATGAGGCGAGGCAGGTGCGGACCATGATTAGACAAAAGAGGAAGCGGGGGGGGCCCGAAATATACTAACTCACCTAAATATGGCATTGCGTCCACCGCAAGGCTGTACGCAAGCGGTTCATCCTGGGGAGGAAACAGAGCCCATATCTTGTCGAGGACGGTCCGCTCAAGTCGTGTGAGGCGCGCAAAATCTTCTTTGGTTGGAAACTCTTCAAACGTCGCATACTTTTTAAACTGACGGACACGCTGATAATAGTGTCGCCGCTGCGCTTGATTGACTCCAGCTCTACGGAGATGCAGTATGACTTGGTTCAAACCAAGCCTTTCATTGACGTAGCGCAGAAACATTTGCATGAAATGCTCTTGTACGTTAACTTTGAGGTTTGTGAAGATGCTCTAAGCCCTGTTCGCTGCGGTCTGTTGGCGCATGCAGATGGGGGCGAATCCGTGAACATCTCAGTAGTCTTGAACCCATGGATGCAACTCTTGCGCAATGACTGGATTGCCGTTGTAGCCTGGATTGTTGAGCGGCTCAAACATCACACTGATGTGCTTGTCAGTGATGTCCGGGAAATTGCGTAGAGGTTGATCAGCTGCGGTGGGCAGACGTAGTAGTCAGGACATTGTTATGGGAAATACTATGGGAAATATACAGTGTACCTCAAAAACTCACCAAGGTAGTACTTGAGAAAGAAGGTGGTGTGGCGCGCAAGGACGTGAACATTGCCGATGAACGTTGTCAGGCGCTCCCTTTGAGCTTGATTCTGATTATGGATGACTCGGTGAAGCGAAACCTTGGTGCTGGCATGTGTTTGCAGGCGGGGTCGTTGAATTGGTGGTGGTGGTGGCGGGGGTTCATACACCAGGGATCCACCCGGTGTGCTGGAAAAAAGGAAAGGGATGGGAGCGGGGAGGTTCAACCGACGCTGCAGACCCCTGTCCCCGGGTGAAAGCCCTCGCTGCTGTTGCTGCTGCTGCTGCCCGTCTTCAGCGCCGGAACTCTCGCTAACCATGTCTGCAATTGCTTGGGGCAAGTGGCGATGGACAGAAGGTGGGAACTCGAATCGCGGGGGTGGTTGCAATGGTGTCTGCACAGCGGTTGGCAGACGTATGGGCAACCGCGGGGTAACCGGAGCAACCTTCCTCCTCTACCGCCGTGGTGTGGTAGCTCCGGTAAAGATGCCACACCACAGGTGCCTCTGGAGCGCCTGGTGTGATGGCATGATGGCCGTGCTGTGCCTTAAGTCAGCCGAGACGGGTGGTGATTGCCGTGACAGCTGTGTGTCAAGGAACTCACGTCAGTGCTGTGGTAATGAGGCTGAGAATGGTGAGGAATTGCGGTTGTTACCTGGTGGCGGTTGAAGGTGAAACCGGGGATGCTTACTGCTCACAATTGCGTTGGGAAGGAAGGGGGTTGGGAAGGAAGGTTGGTAGGAAGGAAGGGTGGTATGTAATTGGGAGTGAGGATCCCCACGTTTTTTACACGCGTGTAAAGGTAGCTTCCTGGTGTGTGTACATGTACAGGTGTTGCAGGTGATTGCGGGACTTTTTTTTTGAGAAGGAAGCGCCTTTGGCAGTGCAGAGAATGCAAGCTATTCGGCACACCTTTCCGAAGACCCTGTTGTGGAACTCGGTACTTTATTCCCCTTCACACATACCACTCGTTTTATAGACATTCGATCGGATGGTCTGCACACACACACAACCATCTCTCTATCTGCAGAGAAGAAAAGGGGGAGGGGTACGGTAACTATTAAAAGGAAGTTGTGGTTGAAACTGGTTGTTTACAACACTCCCTCTCAGACTACAGATTGTCGCACCCCGGAGGAGATGGAGGCGGAGAGAAACCGTCTCTCGGCGTTGAAGGCCCAGCGACTGCGAGAGAAGGAAATAGCGACGATAAGGGCTGTGGCGGAGAAAGCTTGAAGGAAGGGCGAAAAGGCGTTAGCCGCAAGAGAGCTGGCCAGCGGAAAGGCAGAGGCAATGGCCCGCATGAAAGAGAAGCAAGTGGCAAGAAATCACGGTGTTCTCGCATCTCGCTTGAACATGGCCACGACGACAACAGCAGCGGTCTTCGAGTCATTCTTGCGAGACGATGTCATCCCTAGAATCGACGAAGCCAACCAAGTTCTTATTATGGACAATGCACCCATCGACCGTCGACGTGTTATCAAGGATATTATCCAAGATGCGGGCCATACGCTGAAAATGCTCCCCTCTTATACCCCATTTTTCAACTGCGCAGAATGGGTTTTTGGCAGCGTCAAGCCCTTCATTCGTTGTCACGAAATTTGAGCTACTCAGGACATCCTTCCCCATCTTATTCATGAAGGGCTGGATTGCATTTCAGCGCAGACGGTAAAAGGGTGGATGAGAGAAGTCATGAGGAATTTTACCATTGCTCTTAGAGGACAACGACTCAGGTGTATGTATGACTGTCAATCCTACTTAGACCTTGCACAGTTTCAAGGTCAGGAGCCTGCGGCGGATGATGATGATGATGGTGGGAGCCAGAATGGGAACGAGGTTGGCGAGAACGACAATGAGGAGTAGCTAGTTCCATAGAAAAGCGACGATCTCGTATAGCTGTGTGTACGCTACTTGGTGAATAAGCGAATATGATTTGCTACAGCTGTGCAGAGGCTCTTTACATTGCAAATCTGCCCTGTTGTGCGAATGTTAAATACTGACAACGATTTCGGTGTGCAGCCAGGATATGTAAATTTAGACGTCATTATTAATATGCCTACACTGTCAAAATACTGTCAAAGCTACCTACTTTTGCGGTCCCTGTCTCTGAGACCTCTTTCTCGCTCTCTCTTCTTCCAACCTCAGCACACGCCAAGATCCACACCTTGACACAGCAACAACAAGAACGACAACACAACAACAACAAAGAGAACACAACAACAACGACAACAACGACAACAACCATGCCCAAAGCACCCCCACGCCGAACTCAATCTGGTGCTGGAGCAGGCAGGGGTAGGGACGACCGAAACTACTCCTGCCTTACTCCTGGAGGAGTCTGCGTTGTTTGCGGGGCTCGGACGTCCGCTGCGTGGCGAACGGGCATTGTGAACAACGTCAACACAGCCAGGGCAGCCTGCAATAAGTGTGGGCGCGCGCAGGCATATCTGGACGCCATCGCTGCCCTCCCGGGCAAACCCGTCGTCCCCTCAACCACCCTCCCCGCACCCGCCCCAGCCACCACGCACCTCACCCGCCAGCCCCTCGTCTCCGCCCACCATCCCCCCGTCTCCACCATCCCAACCCCCGTCTCCACCGCCCAGTCCCCCGTCTCTGCCGCCGCTCCCCCTGTCTCCGCCCCCCAGCCTCCCGTCGCCGCTGCCGCTCCCACCGCCCCTATCCCCAACCCCTTTGCAATCACCAGCCTCCTCAACCCCGCCCTAATCCCCAACCCCATCCCAATCTCCGCCCTTCTCAACCCTGCCCCCATCCCCACCCGCCCCACCCGCGCTGCCGCCATAGCAGGGGTCGCAGCCGCAGCAGCAGCAGCAGCAGCGCCCACCCCGACGACCGGTCACAAGGAGGAGGAGGGGTATGACGAGATGGCGCAGGAGGAGCTGGCCATGCCTGAAGAGGAGGAGGGGCACTGGAGGGCGTTAAGCTAGTGAGGGAGACATGCGGTTCAACAACACGCCAGGCGATGAAGGCCCACACCACGCCCCTCTTTGACGCACACCGAGCGCGCCTGGCCGCTGCAAAGCAGAAGGCCGAGGAAGTGCGGGCTTTTACCCCCGCCTCCGACGACGCTGATGATGATGACGAGGAGTATACGTCGGTGGAGAGCAGCCTCTGTTGGGGATATCTCATCTTCACTTGTATTTCATATTATATCTCCCTACTTCTACTTGATCTGAGACCCGGGCTGGCCACCCGAGCTCTCGGTGATACATTACATAAGGCGCCAAGCCTCACTGAAGCCACGCAAGCCCCACTGGCAGCCCATATATAAAGCTGTCAGTCGAGCGGCCGCTGCAAAGAGCTTCTTACTTTTTTCTTCGCTACAATACACTGCTTTCAGCCCTCTCAGAAGGGCCCAATATCGTCTACGTCTCCTCTGACTGTTATGGACGACGCGCCCATACCATAAGCTTACCTATTGACAGCCGCCAATGTCAACCGCCAATGTCAAACGCCAATGTCAATGTCAATGTCAGTGTCAATGTCAGTGTCAATGTCAATGTCAATGCCACTCCCCCTCTCTCCTCTCATTTTGCCAATCCTCCCGCAATATTGCCACTCCTCCTCTCTCCTCTCATTTCGCCAATCCCCCCTCGGCTTCTCCACATCCCCCACTACTTCTCCATAGCCAGCAGCTGTAGCAATGCTCTCTACGCTCGCCACGCACGCTCTAGGAGCATAGCTGGCGCCCCCCCAGTCCTCTCTTGTTGTTGTTGTTCTCTGGCCTGCTGGGTTGCCTATCTATAAATAGCCGGCCTCTCTTCGTCCATTCCCTTCCTCCCCAGCAGATCAACACCAGTTCTTCTCATCTCTTGTTCTAGTCCTTGTCTCTTGTTTCGCCAATACAATCTCTTGTCGCCCATCGCTCTCGCCTTGTCTTCTCTACTTCGCTTCCGCCTCAGTCGTCGAGATCATAACAGTTTGATCCGCTCCAACACTGCGAAGTTCAGAACCTGTCCAACCCTGCATCTGCCACACCTTTTCGCCATGTCCCAATCCGAATCCGTACCTTTCACCGCCGAGCAATGGACTGATATGTGCCAAGCCATTGCCGCCTTGCAAAGCCAAAACGCCAACTTGCAGGCCAACCTAGCGCAAGCCCAAGCCAACGCACAAGCTGCCCAGAACATTGCCGCCCAGGTCCAAGCCAATACGTACACCCGTCCTCAAGTCCCCAACCCTGCTCCCGGAGCTCTGGAGCCAAGAATCAGCTCGCCTGAGAAGTTTGATGGTACCTGCAGCAAATTCCGTGGGTGGTTGAACAACATCCGGTTGATGTTTGCTCTCCAGCCCGACCGCTACCCCAGCGACATCATCAAGATCCAAACGATTGGCACCTACCTCACCGGCACTGCGCAAGCCTGGATGGCGCCCCTAGTCGAACGCCAAGATCACAGCCTTCAGAACTTCGATAGTTTTATCGGTCAGATGCAATCTGTCTTCAGGGACAGCGACAGGGTCCGCACCTCTGAGAACAAGCTCCAGAACCTTCGCCAAACCCGTGCAGCCACCGAGTACATCGCCGAGTTCCGCCAGCTACAATGCGATGTCTCCTGGAATGACCAGGCCCTGATTGCTACCTTCCGCCGTGGCCTCAAAGAGGACGTGAAGGATCTGATGCTCACAATGCCTCCTGCTGCCACCATTGATACGGTGATGGAGCAGGCTATCCAGTGCGATAACCGACTGTTTGAGCGCCACCTGGAACAAAACAGAACCCGCCAGACCTTCCCAGTCCCCCATACCTCGTTTACCACTACCACCACCGTCGACCACAGCGAGCCCATGCAGATTGACGCCGCTCGTCCCCGCGGCCCTCTGAGCCCCCAGGAACGCCAACGCCGCATTTCCAACAACCTCTGCCTCTACTGCGGTGGGGCGGGGCACATTGCAAAGGCCTGCCCAGCCAAGAACAAGACCACCACCCGTGCCGCCAACGTCGACATCAAAGAAACCTCCACGGAACAGGGTTTTCCCAAGGTCCAGCCGCAGTAAAGCCCCAGCGACTGGACTACACACACTCCTCTGGGCCTCCTAACCTCGCAGCTCCTGCAACGGAAGAGGCCACCCCCCCGGTTCCCGACTCCGTTATAGCCAACACAACCCTCCTAGCCGCCACCCATGTCGAAAACTCCGAAATTAACCCACGCACCCTGCTTGTGCTGGGTCCCGTCGAACCCTTCAACTACCACGATACCATCATGGTATCATCCAGCTGCGCCCCAATACCTACCTCAGCCATGATCGACAACGGGGCCCTGTCCTGCTTCATCGACAGAGACTTTGCCCGCAAACACCGCATCCCCCTAGTCCCCCATCAGCGTCCCCTGACGATCGAACTCGTTGACGGTCAACCCAGCTCTGCTGGGCCAATCACCCATCACACCTAACCAGTAGGCATGTGGGTCGACGACCACTTCGAAGAACTCGTCTTCCATGTCACCAAATCACCTCACGCGCCAATCCTCCTTGGTCTTCCCTGGCTCCGCCTCCATGACATTAACCTTGACTTCAAGAACCTTTCGGTCGGTTTCCATTGCAACTGTCAGGACCATGAACTCACGAATTGGGACCACTCCCTGGCACCCCCGAGCCCAGCACCTGCCAGAACCCCCGAGCCCTTGATCCGCATCCCCCAGGATGAAGTCCCCGTCGACAAAACATGGTCAATTCCAGTACCCAAGGTATCTCGCTCCAGCACCCCAGAACCGGCTCCCATGCCGCTCCGAGTCTCGTTCATCTCCACCCCAGCCTTCCGGGTCGCTGCAAGGCATGACCAGGTCTTTGTCGCCTACGCCAACCCTGCGAAACCCGAGCTCCCGGTCTTGCCTAGCCCCAGTAACCCCCCGACACCCGAGAAAAACATCAAAGACTTCCTGCCCCCCGAATATCAAGATTTCGCCGACGTTTTCGAAAAGAAAAATGCTGACACTCTCCCCGAGCACCGGCCCTACGACTGTCCAATCGATCTGGAAGAAGGCAAGCAGCCACCTTTCGGCCCGATCTACAGCCTCAGCGAACCAGAAATGAAAGCACTCTGGGAATACCTCGAAGAAAACCTCGCCAAAGGATTCATCAAACCCTCAAAGTCCCCTGCCGGTGCGCCAGTCTTATTCGTGAAGAAAAAGGACAGTTCTCTCCGCCTCTGCGTCGATTATCGAGGCCTGAACAGCATCACGGTGAAGAATCGCTACCCCCTGCCCCTGATCAACGGTATCATGGACCGTTTGCGCGGTGCCCGCCGTCTCACCAAGATCGACCTCCGCGGCGCTTACAACCTCTTACGCATGCGCCCGGGCGATGAATGGAAGACCGCCTTCCGCTGCCGCTACGGCCTATTCGAATACAATGTCATGCCCTTTGGACTCAGCAATGCTCCTGGTGTTTTCCAGTACCTGATGAACGACATCTTCCGCGACATTCTCGATGTGTTTGTTGTTGTCTACCTTGATGATATCCTGATATTCTCCAAGAACCCCGAAGATCACCCCAAGCACGTCCGCGAAGTCTTGTCCCGCCTCCGCCAGCATGGGTTGTACGCCAAACCCGAGAAGTGCGAATTTGACCGCGAATCTGTCGAGTTCCTAGCCTTCATCATCTCCGAGAAAGGCATCCAGATGGACTTCAAGAAGATCGCTGCCATCACGGATTGGGAACCTCCCAAGAATGTCAAAGGCGTCCAGCGCTTCCTCGGCTTTGCCAACTTCTATTGCCGATTCATCCAAGGTTATTCCAAGATCGCTACCCCGCTCACAGCCCTGACCCGGAAAGACATCCCGTACGCCTGGACGCCCGCTGCAAACACCGCCTTTGAGAACCTGAAGAAATCATTCACCACCGCCCCCATCCTTGCTCACCCTGACCCAGAGAAGCCATTCGTCGTCGAAACTGACGCCTCCGACTTTGCTCTCGGCGCAGTTCTCCTCCAACCTGACCAGGACAATACACTGCTCTCAGCCCTCTCAGAAGGGCCCAATATCGTCTACGGTTCCTCGGACGTTACATGGTAGCACCACCTACCGCTAGAATCACCAAGGCATTCCTTGTCAATGTCGCCCCTCTACCGGACGTCGCCCGTACACTCGTTCACAAGCAAGAATGGACCAACAAACTCAAGCTATCGTTGCGGCTGTCGCAGCTGCTTTCGCTACTTGGGACCGTGCTGTTACGCAGGACGTCCAACGAGCCAAACGTTTCAAACTTCTTATGGACGCTTGCAAGAACAAGCTCGTCGAATACGATGGCGCCAAAGCTGCCAAGAAGATCGAAGAGTTTGTTACGTCTCACAGCAATTTGCTCGAGTGTCTCACGGTCCTGGCTGTACAAGCTGGACCAGACGGTACTGGAGCTGCGAACGCCATAGCCTTTACTATGGCAGAGTACGCTCCTACACTCACTACCTACCTCAAGGGTACTGCTCTCAAGTGGTACAATATGACCTACGCTACTGGCGCTCCCGCGAGTTGGACAGCTTTTCAAACGGCTCTTGTCGCTCACTTTTATCCTCGCAACTCGCGTAATACTATTGAGCTCAAGCTCTCCCGCCTCAAGCTCGGTGACTCTCTCGAGAAATATCTCAAGGAGTTTCAAGACACCAATAATGAGCTCGAAGCCGCTCATCGTCTCGATAACAGTCAAGGCACCATTCCCCTTATCGATCAGATTTGATACTTCAAGGCCGGTCTTCTCAAGAATACGGTAATCGGTCATTATCTCGTTGAAGCCGCTACGAACTTCAAAGTCTCGCAGACTACCAACATCAACACCCCTATCACTCTCGATCAAGCTATCACTGCAGCCCGTCGTGCTCATGTGGCTCATGGGTTCACTGATGGCAACCAAGCCAATACACCTCGTCCGGTTGCCTCGGCAACCAGTGCTTGTGGCGGCCGTGGAGCCAGTCGCGGTTGGGGTAGTCGTGGCGGTG